TGAGATAGGTCTCCAAATTTTGAACATTGATGACCAGGTCAAAGGTTATGATCTTTTGACCTCAAACCTCAAAAGTGACCTACCTCAAGGAATTTTTTTCCTTAGTGTTTTTATTTTTATAAAGTTGGCACAACTCATCCTGAACATTTTGATATGTTGATCACCTCCGTGCGATTTTTTTACGCCAACGAGAATTTTTGGAAAAATGTAGTTTTGACTAGTTTTTAAGTTTTCCCCCATAAGCTCAATGTTATAACTTTCCAAAACTACATTTTTCCGAAAATTCTCGTGGGCGTAAAGAAAATCGCACGGAGGTGATCAACATATCAGAATGTTCAGGATGAGTTGTGCAAACTTTGTAAAAATAAAAACACCAAGGGAAAAAATTCCTTGAGGTAGGTCACTTTTGAGGTTTGAGGTCAAAAGATCATAGCTTTTGACCTGGTCATCAATGTTAAAAATTTGGAGTCCTATCTCATAAGAAATGCGATTGACTATAAACGTGCAAAATTTCAAATTGTTATGTCACAAATTGTTTGAGTTATCACTTTGTGAATGTTTGGCGAAGACTTTTGCAGGGCAGTGTACATATTTCTAACTATCTTTTTCCTGGAAACAATTATGTACAAAGTGGCGCATAGATATTTACTGAACCATAAAACCGTCCCCGAGGAGGTGGTGGATTCGCAGGAATATCATCGTGACGTGTTCCTCCCCCTGAAGAATATGGCCTGGCACGATCGTAAAATCCCAAGGAGATGTTCCCTCGGGAAATGTCCCGCTTAACAAATCCACCACCATCTGTGTCAAATCGCCCCCACTAGGCGCCAAACGGATATGGTTTTGAAGACTAAAGTTCTCCTCCCACTTCCAAAATTTGTAGCCTGCCCAGTTTACCGGGTATTGTTGGAGTTCGGGGTAACGGAGGTTTTGAGAAGCGTCGTCCCGGCAAGAAATCCAGGTTTTGTTGATATGATGGATAAATTCGGTTAGGTCTAGATTCCCTGGAAATCATTATTTGGAAATGTTTGCTTTAAAATATTTTGGTACTTTTTTTACAGGCTAAATACATAACCGTTGCAAACGAAATGTAGCAGATTGGTGAAAACACACGGCATTGCCTTTGTGGCACGCCAACATCTTTCAGCAATTTTCTGACATTGTATCGCATCACCCCACGTCTCATTTTTGCCCCGTTTTGACACCTCACTCGCGTGCTTCGAGCGTACATGACCAGACCTTTCAATAGACATCCCACATGACAAAAGTCATTTTTCGACATTCGACGTCGATGATGGCGATTTTTGAAATCCCCACCCAAAACTACGTCTAATACGGTAAAAACAAAAAATTCGACTACTTTGATCGCTGGCGTTATCACCGTGGCGCCGTGACCTTACAACCTACAACGCACATCGTCGAACTCATCCGTACTTTAAAAATAAGAACCACGTTTGGGAAAACGATATGTAGAAATTAGAATCTGTTCCAAAGTTATAGTGGATACAGACGAACAGACAGACAAGACAATTTCATAAGCGGGGTGCACCCCTTAATAATTTGGGGACAAATCGGCAGTCCTCTATTTCTTGGTAATGATTCATCATATGGCTTGTCATCAACGAGAAATATATCAAAAACTCGTGTGACAAACAAACGTCATGCATGTCGTTATTAAGGGGTGAAGCGAAATCTCTTTATGGAAATGTCTTCTCTGTCCGTCCGTCTGTCTGCCCGTCCTTCCGTATCCACGATAACTTTAGAACGAACCCGAATTTCGAGATGGGGGTTTCGCCGACATGTTGCTAATTTTTGAAATACAGATGGTCTCAAAGATGGAGATCCTAGGTCATAGGGTCACGGCGTCATGTTGACGACATAAACGGTCAAAGCTGTCGAATTTTTGGTTTCCACCGTATTAGACAAATTTTTGGACGGGGATTTCAAAAATCGCCATCATTTCGACATGCCCGTGTGGGCGGTGTCGAATGTCGACAAATGACTTTTGTCATGTGTGGTGTCTATTTAAAAGTATGGTCGTGTATTTACGAAGTGTGGGGGTTGGGTGTCAGAACGGGGCATAACGAGACTTGGGGTGATATTAGAAAACGACGCGAAAGTTCTGAAAGACGTTGTGGGCGTGCCACAAAGACAATTCCGAGTGTTATCATTTCACCCCCTTGCTACATTTCGTTTGCAACGGTTTACTTAGAGTGTGCGAGAAATGGTCAACCTTTAACCGTGATCTCCGCGACGTTGACAGCTTTGGCGGGACAAATTTTGTCGTCTACTTGGGCAAAAACGCTGCTAGTGCAGGACAACATGCCGGCCAGGTCGGTCCGGAAGATGGGACGGAGAATGTTTGCGATAGGGCGCCAGATCAAGGTCGGCGTAAAAATGAGGACGACCACGACCAAGAGGACGGGAATTAGGATGACACCTATTAAACAGAGGTACGCTTCCCAGAGCAAGCTCCTCAACCGTGTTTTCCACGAGGGCCGTATCAAGGGCATATTGGCGTAGGTACTATTGTATCTCTGCTAATTAATACATTCTAAGAAACCCGGTAACTAAGTTATTACCAGGCAGAGTATCTATATGAGTCTACTGCATGATAATTTATTTATTATTGAGTCGTAGAAAATTAGTAACCAACTGGTAATATTTTCAAATTTCTCGACCAGGGTTGTTACCGGTTTGGTAACAAAAACCACTCAATAATAAATTAATTACCAGGCTCATTCCATCTGAACCCACACGATCGTCGTCGCACCCATATTTGATATCTTGTCCACAATCTTATCATAGATGCATAATATCAAATAAAACATATCATAACAATCAAAATTTAAAAATTAATTTTTTTTCGCAAAGATATAGCAGTCAAAAGAAAATTTGCAAATGCATTGAAAATGCTTTCGTCGCCAAAGTGTTGGTTCAAAGGGGTAGGTTACATTTGCAGATTTTATTCATTGATCATTCATTGATAGGAAAAATTTTAAAAAATTCACAAATTCGAAAAAATCAGAAATTTAAAATGTATTGAAAAACTCGATTATCGAGAAGACGGACAAGAATCGCTCATTGAGAGATAAGCCAATCGATGCCTTTGGGCCTGAGGAAACAAAAAAGTTTAAAACCCCACGCGATTTTTGTCCGTCTTGGAGTTTTGGCGATTTTTCGATAAGGTAAAATTAACATGGGCTGCTTCTGTAGACAGTAGTAAATAATTCTGTGTTCCTACGTGGCCGGCAACATTGCCTATGAATAAGTTGTGTAGTGTTCTCTTGCAAAAGCGAGAAAAATACATGGTCAGGCAGCCACCACCAGCGAGCAGGGTTTAGTACCTGTATTTCCTGGTGCTCGATCAAACGTGTTGCTTACAAATGGAATGAGCCACCATGCGATAGAGTCACATAGATACTCCGCCTGGTAATAATATAGTTACCGGGTTTCTTAGAGTGTAAATATGCTATTCTACCAGATATTTAAGAGTGTATTACACAAATATATTTAAAGCCTAATCGTACATATCTCCGTCACCGACACATACGCCCAAACTCGGGGATAACTACTAAACTTTACTAGTAACTTTAGTAAGCTATTTATAAAGAAGTGGAAATATAGATACTTATCTTCGAAGAAGAAAATAGCACAAAATTAGGAACAGCGTATTGAGCCCAGTTATTTACATACGTAAGAGAGTTGCAGATCAAACTGAAATAAGTCTCGCTAACCTTGAGGTCGTCAGGTAAATACGAGGCCCAGACATGATTTTAACATCAAATTCAACCAGGATTGGCGAGATGAGAAGAGGCGAAATATCATGTTCATGCATATCTTCAGTTTTCATGTACTTTACACAGAAACAGTGGCCGCGGTAGGATATTTAGAGGAAGTGGAAAAGCTACTTAATAACCACACTTACTAGAGAGTACATACGTACTTACATCTATGCATCTTCCTTTATTTAATTAGTCTCCAGACTCAAATGACTGGACATTATGTATGTAACTTTGAGGCAGTTCATAAATTATGTATGTAACGCAAAAATCGACGTTTTCAGACCCATCCCCCCCCTCTGTGACACTAATGTAACGCAAGGCAACTATCCCCTTCCCCCTGCGACACGTAACACGAATCTCATTTTCCTTAAAAAAAATGAAAGCTGAAAATGAAAGTTCGAAAAACCGTCATTTCTTGGATTTGATTGGCGTTTTGATTTAACTTCTGTGTTCTTATTAATCAAAAATTTTCTTAAATTTTAAAACCGCGCGGTTTAGTTTGTACACAATTATTGATCTAGTTTGTGTGACGTGACGCAGGACGTTGCCCCCTACCCTCTTTGTGTTCCATAATTTATGAACCGTCCTTGTGGAAAAATACCATGAAATGATGATACCTAACATTAAGGATAATCACTTATTTTGAGGAATTCCACTCACTCAAGGAAATCTGGATCCGTAATCCAATTTTCCTGGATTGGATTACGGACAATTTAAATTAGTCATGGATTAATTAATTTCATGAAATTGTTTATGTAGGTATATATGTATTAACGCAGACTTTTAACTTTAGTATGTATGTATGTATGCAGTTAAAATAATATCTTGACTTTGGAACAACTAACATATTAAAAGTCGCATATGCCAAATTAGATCGTTATAGGATACACAAATTTCAAAATTTTTTTTTATACTGCTACCCTATACTCTTAAAAAACTGGTATTAAATCATTGCCGACCTGAGTAAATACATATGTATGTGACTCTACCGACCCTGGTATTAACGGGAATTACCGTTCAGTAATTTTGTGGTAATGAAAAATTTACCACTCAGGACCAATTTACTACATACATACCAATCCGGTGGGAAATTATTACCAAATCAATACCAGCACGGAGTATCTACATGACTCTACCAGATTTTTAACCGTGTATTATTTGTACACTCTTAAAAATCTGGTAGAGTAATCTGGTAATCTGGTAGAAAGCTGAAAATTAAATGTAGAAATTATCTAATCCATTTTATTATTCATTAATGTTTGTCTATCACATGTTGAGAACCATTACTGGAATTTTTAAATTTTAAGTTATATTTACATAATCCACATTAACAACTAATAACACGAAGGTCAGGATTTAATGCCTCCAAAATTCCGACTTCCTCCACAATACAGCGTGTCAATTTGTCCGCCTCCTCGCTCGATAAAAGGTTCGAATTAAAGAGCGGGTTTATGTTGACATGGTCACCGAAAGACGAAATAGACATCATTCCACCTGTTAGGAGAGAAGGTATTGTTAATATGTTAATAGATACACTCTTATAAATCCAGTATTAAAATAACACGAAACAGTATTCCTACATATATAACTTTACCAAAAGGGTATTGATACATGAGCAGTACCGTGTAGTAGTAGCTCGGTATTAAAGGTGTAACGTATAGATAGCACATTTTTACGCATGGGTATAATTTTGATACCAAGCGATAGCAAGTTTTATACCGAGAAATTAATACCGGCCTGACTATACTAATTTTCTAACAGTGTATTTATGCAAGCTGTTAGTCCAGGGGTACAGATCACCAGCCATTAATAAATGTATTACAATCCAATAACTAATTAGTACTATGGCATTAGATCCACACATATTCACGACCTTGTAATTGACCGGATTACATATTAGCAGTGGGTGTGGGTAGTAGGATATGCGATTTAGCCGGATTCGATCCAATCCGATCCGATCCGACAGGGTCAGGTTGGGTTGGGTGCCATAGTCGGATCGGTACGGATTTTAAACAGCATCAATCCGACTATACGCTGGGTATTACACTCTTAGAAATGGAGTTACGATTATACTTAACTAAAGGTAAACGCATGTGACTCTACCGCCGTGGTTATAAATTTGTCATCGAGTGGTTACAATTATCACCGACTAATTATAAAGTTTCACCGATTTGGTATTAAATTGTCACCAGACCTAATAAATTTATAACCAGTTGGTGACAAATTCATAACCACAGCGATAGAGTCATATGCGTTTACTTTTTGGTTATCATAGTCGTAACCCCATTTCTAAGAGTGTAGGAATGCCAGGGTAGGATTATTACCTTGTTGACCTTGTTGGAGCTTCATGTAGAAGGTGGCGTTTGACACGGTCCTTCCGAGAATGTTCCACTCCGGAGAAAACCCGAACGGGAAGTAGCTCGTTGTCAGGGACCCGAATGGATACCAGGTTATCAGGGGTGCCACCCAGTTTACGTGGCTACCGAGAAGGGCGAAGCCATAATGCCCTAATTAAAAAGGGTGATTCATATCCGTTTGTAATCCCAGATTAAATTTAATCAGGCTAATTCGATTTTTTACCAATTACGGACGCGGCAGAATGTCGTAAGGTTTCGAAATTGTTATGCATTTCGTACAACCGTTCAACCGGGTCGGAAATTTCGGTAGGGTAGGAAGTTAGGCCGAAGGAACTATGCAAAGGTTAGTTTAGTTAATGTACATGCTTACATATTTACACACACTCTAAGAAATTCTATCACTAGATTAGCTAACAAGGATAACTTTAAGTTACTCTAACATTACCAACACGGTAATAACTACAACCACTAGGGCTCTACACGAATTCGAGTCCGATTCGACTCCAGGATTCGAGCTTGACTCCCTGTTTTTGAGGGTTTACCAACCTCAAACAGAATCTGAGTTTAAAATTTTCTGGGATATGACACCGGCCAAGTCTGGATTCATGAACTCTTAGAAATTAAGTTACGATTATAGCCAAAAAGTACACGTACATATGTGACTCTACCTCCGTGATTATAAATTTGTCATCGACGGTTACAACTTTCACCGACTAATTGTAAAGTTTCACGGACTTGGTATTAAATTTTTACCAGCTAATAAATTTATAACAAGTTGGTCACAAATTCAGAATCACGGCGGTAAAGTTATTACTTTTTGGTTATAATCGTAACTCCATTTCCAAGTGTGTGATAACCACAAACCAGATCCGGTAAAGTCACTCTATTAGAGTGACTCTAACGCATCACACGAATTATTAGTGTGTAGACATTAGGAAAAAAATTTGAATTCTCTCACTCACAACTGGTTACCCATTCGGTCGGGATGTTTTCCCCCGGGTAGAACAGGCGTCACGGTTTGAATAACGTCAGGAATTTTCATACCTTTCTTCAACTCGGAGTCCATAAAACGTCTTAATCCTCCTGCCACGAGGGAGTACAGGACAGCAGAGAAGCTCACTTGAAAATGTTTTTTTATCCGGAAAATTGTCCGGGTGGAGATTGACTGACCACGTGCGAGCGACCACGTGAGACCTTTCTGACGCTCGAGGACTTTCCATCTCCACTGTTTCGCCGCCGAGTGCGCCAACTCGCCAAAAAGGAGGGCAGCCTGGGAATTTAAAGGATAGATATAAAAAAACTGTTGCTGTGGGGTTATGCATAAACTACAAGAACATGTGTTTTCTATCACAGGAAACATCAAGACTATATTTTCACGCTAAAATTAATGAAATATCGGCACACTCATAAAAATAATGTCATCCTTCTTTAAAGTCCATGCGCTCTAAACTATAAATTTAGTAAACCTTAGTAAGCTATACTAAATCCAGGGTACATTTTCTCTTCAAAAGGATAATAACATTATTTTTAAGGGTGTTATGCACTAATCTTAAGTAATTTACGATCAACCTCACCTTGAATGGGAACACGATAGATGCCTTAGCATTATTCCAGAACGACTTTTCCCCCTTCACGGCCGGACAGAAGAGTGGCATCGGATTCTCATCTCCCCACATGCGTTGGAGCAGGAAACTAAATTATTTCAAGCGCAAGTTCAAATTTCAAATTAACCTTATCCTCCAGATAAGGGGCCGTTGATAAACTATGTACTAGCGCAAAATATGGATTTTCTAGACCATCTGCCTCCCATTTAACAAATGTCACATAACCACGATATCACTTATATAAGCATCTCCGGTTACACAATTTATGAACGTCCCCTAATTTGAAATTCTTGCATACTGAACCATAAACCCGTCTCCGAGGAGGTGGTGCATTCGCATAAATATCGTGGTGACTGCTTCCTCCCCCTGCAAAATGGGGCCTGGAACGATTGTTAAATCCCAAGGGGACGTCCCCTCTGGAAATGACCCGCACAATAAATCCAACCCCATCTGGGTCAAATCGCCCCCACAGGTGGCCAAACGGATATGGTTTTGTAGACTGAAGTTCTCCTCCCACTTCCAAAATTTGTAGCCTGCCCAGTTTACCGGGTATTGTTGGAGTTCGGGATAACGGAAATTTTGGGTATGGTCATCCCGACAAGAAATCCAGGTCTTGTGAATGTGCTTGATAAATTCGTCCAGGTCGAGATGTCCTGGAAATTTTTATTTTAAAATATTATGATTTGTAAACATTTTTTGCATGATTTTTTATAAAACACACCCTGATAATTTGGAGACAAATTACCCACTCATGGATGTGTTTACTTAGTCCTCTATTTTTTGGTTATAATTACGTAGACGTTTTGTCACCAACCGGAAAAAAGTAAAGAATAGAAAAAAATCATGTACCCAAAATAAATAAAAAATGACATTTGTATCTGAAGATGTATAAGAAATTTAATTGTGTTGTTTTTTTAGATAATAATGTCACGTGTGTTTGGTACACGTGTTCTTTCTTGTATGGTTTTCCGTTGGTAATCAAACGCATCCTTCAAAGTTGAGTCGGTTTACCGAATTTTGGATAAAGTATCCATCCGGACCGAATCCGAATCATTCGAATTCGGATATTTTTTCAACCGAAAACTTCCGATTCGGTTAGGATAGATATTTTTTAATCAACAAATTCGGATTCGGTTCAGATGGATCCGAAAAATGTCCGACCTGCTCAACTCTGGTCTCCTTAATCATTACAGAAAAATATTTAGATATGTAAAATGGGGATGACGATTTGTCTCCAAATAATTCAGAGTGTATGGCCCACCTTTAACCGTGATTTCCAAGACGTTCATAGCTTTAACGGGACAAACTTCGTTGTCAACTTGTGCAAAAACGCTGCTCATGCAGGACAGCATGCCGGCCAGGTCGGGGCGGAAGATTGGACGGAGAATTTTCGCAATCGGTCGCCAGATCAAGGTCGGCGTAAAAATGAGGACGACCATAATGAGAACGACGGGAATGACGATGACACCTATTAAACACAAGTATGCTTCCCAGAATAATCTGGCCAACCGCATTTTTAACTTTGGCCGCATTAAGAGCATTTTGGCGTAGGTATGAATGTGCGAATTATGTAAAGAATTAATTTAAATTTTAATCGACGAATTAATTTATGTAAATATTTAATTGCGAAGGAATTATTTTCGTATGAAAGTGTCTTGTTTAAATAAAATTGAGTATTATTAATCGATATGGAAGGAAAAAATATGTATATGAATTTGTTTAAAGTTTAAAGTGTTATAAATTGTCCAGATTTTTTTTTTCAGGAAATTTTGTACCCGATTTTTTGCACAAATCTGGCCGAATTTTTTTTTCACTATGTAAATTTGCTACTCGGTACGTATTTAGTCTACTATTGCCACACCGTTTACAACCGGACACTAATGAGGCAATAACTAAGTATACCAAACTATTTATATAGAAGTGGTGATACATATTCGTTCAGAAAATAGCACAGTGTGAAAAAAAGTATATGTATAGGGTTGCCCGTGAGTTGAGTTCATCTGACGAGATGAGTTTGAGATGAGTTAAGAACTCTGCTGAGACATAAAATGTAGTGAGATTAGACGAGTCGAGCTATGATGAGATGCAGTAAGACAAGATCAACTCATTACCAAAAAATTAGCGGGTAGTGGGATAAAGTGGGACGAGCTTTTAATGAGTCACAGTGAAGCGAGACCAACTCATTTCCAAATAAATGGACATTTGTACCAGATTAAATTCTCCTTTAACCCCAAAACTGAACTCAAATCTGCTTTTCGGTGTGTTCAATGCCTTTTAAATAAAATTTTAACCAGTTTTATTTAATTGACTGCTTATTAATATAAGACCTGTAAGAATTTTAGTAAAACGTAGCGTATTTACATAGGAAAAGTGAAAGGATACGGGCTCACTTGTAGTACTTGGAGGGGTCCGGATTAGGCTTTTTTGTCCTTTTCGTACTTACATAGATGAGCAATCTTATGTATCTCATGTGAAAATGAGATGAGTTACGGCTCATTATGTTTCCATCTCATCGCAATATTCAGTGAGACGAGAGGAGATGCGGCGGCTTGTCTCACTTCGTCTCATCTCACCGGCCACTCTAGCATGCACAGAGTAAAATACAAAGTTACGTATGTATAAAGCAATTCAGTTACATAATCGGAATCAAAGTAAGTAATAGCCTCGCTAACCTTGGTAAGTTTATGCAACTTTATTAAGTCTAGCCTATCCTAGGTTACGTACCTAAGTCGTTGGGTACGAGTTACATCCATACATACATAAGTGCATATATATGTATGTAGAACTTACTTAAATATATATGTACATATGCAAGCAAGATTGTGGTGATAAAAAAAACCGAAGTATCATTTTTAACATTTCACGGACAGTATTTTCGGTTTAGGTAATTTACAAACAGTGGCCGCGGTAGAGGCACGGGAAAATGTCCACTTAAAATAAATAAATAATCTGGAGATAATTCGTCACCGGCAGAGTTACATACTTATTTGCTATAGTTCTCTACTTTTAGGAAAATTGACTGAGGGAGGAGACGTTTTATCACCAGAGGAAAATAAGATTTTTTAACATCAAACTTTTAAAATATTTTAATACGAGTTTTTGGCTTATTTCCCATTGGTGACAAAACTTTTTCTTATTTGTAATCAGTCAGGAAAAATATAGATCGCCGTATTACACTTAAAATAAGGTACATAGTAATGAATCATTACCATGCGGAATGACTATGTGGCTCTACCACGTCGGTTACGATTTGTCGTAGAACTGGTAATAATAAATTCAGGGAAATTCAAATTCATTACCAAATATTAAGGAAGTTAATACCATTATGTATTAAATTTGAATTTCCTTGAACTTATAATTACCATTTCTACGACAAATCGTAACCGACGTGGGAGAGCGACATAGTCATTCCGCATGGTATTGATTCATTACTACCTTATTTTGAGCGTACTTCTGGGATTTGTCTCCTAATTATTTAGAGTGTCGAATTGACTTATCTAAATATGTATGTATGTACAGGGTGGTTAAAATGTCACGATACAATGGAAAATTTTTCGATGGGAAAAATCCATAAATTTCCATTAGTTACCTAAATTTTGTCTCTTAAAGGCAATATTTTAAGAATTTTGTCATCAGTTTTGATAATAATTTATAAAATCTCAATCCCAAATCTTGTAACCAATGGAGATTTAGGGACTTTTCCCATTGAAAAATTTTCCGTTGTGGCGTGACATTTTGACCACCCTGTATATCTGATAATCTTTCCATTTGCATATTCTGTATGTATGTATGCAAACCCCACTTTTCCCTTATCCTACAAATTGTAGGCTACAATGCTATCTAATGTCCCCGCGACGGCTTCTGCGGCCACGATAAAAAAGTGCTTGACTTATCACTCAACCATGGAAACCTGGTTACACAACTTCTCCAAAACCAAGCTCGGCAGATATCCGTGGACGTTTCTAGGCGCAAGGTAGGTTAGTGCTATGCATACTTTTAGGGTTGAAGGTCGTCCAGAAATGGATTGCTTAGCTTATGTAAGGAAGCAAATGTGCATGAAGAAGGCGATCTTATCACATTTTTTGACATCCTCCATCCAAGCTGTAACTATGCATGTTCAATTAATTAATTAGTATGAAGATTCAACTGAGCGAAAATTAACTGTGGAAAAATTCCATGACGTATTGATACGTACGTAACAATAAGAACTTATTTTTACTAACTCAACTTTCGGGGTATTCACATCAGTTTGTAATTTTTTGCAATATTGGCAGAAACACATATACATACATATTTGTACTACGTACACTGAATAATTTTATGATACATGCGATTATTACCGGCGGAGGAAAATCGTCTCACAAAATTATTGAGGATATAAACTTCAAAAGATGCCTTCAAAGTAACGCAATTCGTAAAGTTTCGAAAGAAGCATAATTTCATAAGAAAATCAAATTAAGGTTTAATTTGTATTAATCTGTTATAAAATTAAATTAGTAAGTGTAAAGTTATGCACATATGTATGTACACTCAAACCAATTAATACCCAGATTGATTCTTACACTTTAAGAAAACTGGTAGTAAGTCATTATTGGCTGGAGCGTAAAACGCTACCTCCACTGGTAATAACAGGCATTACCGTTCAATGTAATGTTGTGGTAATGCAAAATTTATCACTAGGGAACAAGCTGTTACCAATCTGGTAGAAAATTATTACCCAATCAATACCAGTAGGGAGTATCTGACTCTACCAGATTTTTAACAGATACTTTAAGCATATCTGCACGTATGTATGTACATAAATGTCGTAAAGTTACGATGTAAAACATCGTAACTTTATTAGTTGAGCACATTGTTCTAAGCAGAATCTAATTAAAGCCATGATTTGGATTATGTATGTAAGCACATGCTTCTGTTGGTTGTATATTTAGTATGCATATGTACATTTGCCCATTTTTATGTATAGGAAACTGCATGGTATTTAATCTGGACTGGTAGAAGTACATATGTACATATGCACGCCTTGGCAATAATGGGCATTATGTAAGTGGTAATGGAAAACTTACCACTCGGTAACAAACTAGTTTCTACACACATATAAATCCCACAAATACATGTACATACATATGTACATTTACTGTACTGGAAGGCAAAGAATTAGAAGAGGTGTGTTATTTTTAATTTATTTTTTAACTTATTTTGACTTTTTTATGATTTCTTCGATTTTTATTCAGGTTAGGGATTTTTAATCTACGACTCCTTTGTTAGTCAGCTTTTCTAATGTGTAATTCGTGTAATGCAATGATAATTAGTGAAATAAAACTTTAGTCCATTTACTGTATATAAAGACTTTTTACAAGTGGAAAGACATGCCTTGTGAGAATTTTAAGACATGTTCCTCTGGACTGGACTGTTCGGGATTAATTACTTTACATGAAATTTTATTAAGCAAGACTTTAAAATAACATAATTAAATCAATATTTTAACTTTGAAATGTGTACTTAACTATTATGTGTTAATTGATGAACATTACTTTGCATATATTTTCCATGTATTTATGTGTGTGACTCTAACCAGAGTTTTTAATAGTGTGGTTTTCATATACATTTCTTTACAAGGATTTCTTAAATTTTAGGAGATTTTGTCTCAAATATTAAATGCAGATTTTAGGAACTTTTCGTAATTGCATATCCGCCGTGAAGTGCATAATTATGCAAATATCATTCACTGCATTTCTGTTCCCTTTTCACGAAATACATACTTATGTAATTTCAACGCACGTTGGTCCGGAATACTGAATTTATTGGCCAAAACCTATTCTCACCGATTCGAAAACGAAGTACCCCCTTCAGTACCTTTGACATAGATGTTCAACTTCGTTTCATTTGGATTGTTACACCGGTGAAGGCGTGGCGTATACTCAAACTTAGCTGATAACATTGGGCTAAATGGGGAATACTTCAAGTTGAAAATCCTGTCTATTCCTGTGCTTTTCTGATGAACCGTTAATGTATTATTAATCTCCCATATCTAATCTACAAAAACTGCTGCCACCAGCTGCCACCATTATAAATAGGCAGAGAGATTTGAATTTATGTAATTGCAAATTGCTATAGGCAAAATATCTGGAGTGTTCCATTATTGTCACGTATGAAATTTTCGAGTGTTCCAAATAACACAATCGCCTCGAAATATCTTGCCAAGTCCTAGGGGAAGGAAATATGGTAAACCAAACCCCTCTAAAAAATTTATTACGAGCGGGGGGATTTTAGGAATTGGTGACCCCCTGAGGAGGCATAACTAAATTTATAATTTTTGTCCTGTTTTCTTTGTTAACTAAGTTAGAGGGCAGAAATACTTCATAAAACTATAGAATATTGTCATTTTATTAAAATACATCCTCAGAATTATCAAAACAAAACTTTCAAATTTGTATTTTGACCACACCCCCCTGGCAGTGGGTGTGCCGATAATGTCCCAACAATGGTCGGATTTGTTTAGAGCTTGATTAGACCTTTCAAATGACACCCCACTTGATGGGGTAATGGAAGAAAATAAATACCCACCTGTGACCACACCCCCAAAGGGGTGTGGCTTCAATGAGAGTTGCATAGCTTATGCCCCTTGGAACTTCATATCTCGATCTCCGAAGGCAGAATTCGAAAAAATTAAATGGTTCGAGAGCTAGAGGTTTTGGCAAACAAATAAAGGAATCCGGACCAGTGTGCAACGTGATGGTTCATTCTCATCTTGCACATGTCTTGCATGCATGCGGGACCGAACTACAAACTACCACATGTTTTTTTCATAAGCCAGCAAACCGGGTGCAGAATAAAAATTACTATAACTTTTTCCAAATTCCTGGATCAATTTAACTAAATTAAATTTCCGACTAAATGTAAAACAAGCTCGTGAACAAGCTAAATGTGTGCATAACTAAGGTAACGAATAAGTAACATATTTTTTTCGCAGTTGAATCTATTAAAAATAAATAATGACCATGAAAACGAAATATTTTACTAATTTTTTTTGTACTGAACGTGCTAAATTAGCACTGCTAATTACTTAGATTACTCTAGAAAGTTGAAACACCTCGATTAAATTCAGGAAAAACATGAGATTACGTGCATGTGTAAATTATTAGGTAAACATCTTATGTTTCGATGTTTTATTAAAATTAAACGAAATGTTTAACCAAGTTATCGCTAAGTTTAATAATTACTTATTATTTCTGTAGAAAGAGGCTAACATAATTCCGTCCCGATTATGGATAATTGTCCCACTCGGAAAGGGACGGGTTCCCTATTTCAAGACTTGCTCAGCTTAACAATTCCTCTGAAAAGGTGTACATTTCCGAATACACGTGTCCCAAAAAATTTGCATACAAATCCAGTCCGAAAATTGTCCTCGAAGGGAGCGACATGTTCCATCTGTACTAATGAGGTCAAAAATTTGAAACCCTTTTCCCCCGAGGAACTTGCCATTATTGGAGAAAATGTGCCCTCGTCATTGCTCAACGTGAACCTGGATTTTACCTGGATTTGTTCCCCCTGCGGCTCAATTTTGGCGACATTGTCCAAACTGAGGAGGAAAATAGAAAATATAACGATCTGTCTTCGTACGTTGGTCGGAATTCGGTTAAGAAAACAATGTCGATGTGAGGGTACATAAAAAAATTATTCGTTAAATATCTATTAGGTATGTAAGAAAATCTTTATAAATTTACCTTATCGTTTAGCCGGTACCGATGCAGATAACCACCCCACACAACGTCAACCTGGCAAAAAACGGTTACATTTCGTCACGAATTTAATTTCTGACATTTTATTTTCTATGCTACCCTTAAAAATAATACTTTCTCTTGAAAAGTAATAATTCACCCTGAATTTCAAATTAAGTTAACTATTCTAAACCCATCGTAACGTTAACTCCATTATGAGGAAAGTTTTCGCTGGATTTTTAGTATAGCTTAGGTAATTTAGAATTCAGACTCTTAATTTCAGAGTGAATTTACTTTTCATAAGGGTAATATTAATGTTAAGAGTGCATTCCTGCAGCTTTTGAATACTTTTTATACATAGATCGCGTCGCGACCCGGATTCTTCTCATAAAGAGGATGCTTCACAAAATCTTGAAATATGGGATCCCCTTGGATCCCTTAAAGTTGAAGACGGTATCAATATTCCGATAATCGGTTCTGTAAGTGGTCCAGTTTCACCACTTCCGGATGAAATTGACGCCGGGGACGATGACGATGACGACGGCGATTATGTCGTAACAATAAAAGAAGATCTACAATCTGAATCGGGTGAAGATTCCGGGATACGGGTTACTTGTCGAATCCTATGTCGTCGAAAAGGTAAGTCGTCGAAATCAACTTGTCGAATGAAAAACTCGTCCGAAAGGCAAGTCGTCGAATTTAGGTACCATGAAACTCGTCGAATTTCATGTAACATTTTTACATGTGCATCGTGGGACGGATATACGCTGCGGACATTCCAAAATACTTAAAATACTACACAGCAGTAATTGGGAGGATTGTTTTGTTCTTTTTACCCTTATATTTTACATTTAAAATGTCAAAGTACTGTTACGAACTAATGTAACGCAGCAAAGAGAAGATAAGCTGTTCTGATGGATTTTGAACAAGCTGAGATAAAAGCTGTACACGACACGTTTCCAGATGCCGTACTTCACGGGTGCCATTTTAACTATTCTCAAATGTTGTTTAGACATTTGACACCCAATTTAAAGAACCAGTACGACCAAGACGTTACAAATGGTATTATTAGCTCACCCTGCGTAGCACGAGAGCTATTGAATTCCTCCTGTCCGTCCGTCTGTATGTTAACGACCTTTTTGCATCAATTGATGCTAATTAATGTGTCCCTGGTCCATTTTTTCATAAATTAATAGCATCGTTGGTATCTGACAATTGGAAACACCAATTGATGCAAAAGAATTGGGAGACTTGATGCATAGCGCACCAATAATGCATACTAGTCGGCGGATGGTATTAGACAATTTTGACATAAATTTTTCAAAATTATCCTTGTTCGTTGGTAGGTAATTCTGCACCAGTGATGCACAATTTTTGGACCGTCCTCGATGCATAATAATTATTGCTTCATTTATCTGTACCCTTGGTGCAATATTGCATAAAAATTATTGATCTACTTTGTTGGATTTTTTTGCACCATTGGGGCAAGTTAGAACCAAATCATTATTACAGGGTGAGCTACTTCTAACGTTACTACGGTTTTCAAAGTTTTCAAAATTATGTATCGCGGATGGTGCTAAGGCCTGCCGGGTATGTTGCACCATTGTTGCAAGAACATATAAGAGTTATGATCTATTTCGTCGGCTTATTTCGCACCTTCGGTGCAAACTTCTGTCTCAATCATTATGACAGGGTGAGCTATTTCTAACGTTACTACGGTGTATTAATTTAAAAAATATTCGGTCTCGCATTTGTTCAGCTCGATGATTTAGAGTGGCATTCCGAGAATTGAAAGTATCGTTAAATTTTAAAGGTCAAACTAAACTCGAACTGGATAAATTTTTAGTTATGTTCAAAAATCCTACATAGGTATAGTGTACGATCCATTAATGTTTCCAATACTCGTCGACCAACGTGTATTAACATACGTAACCTTCCATACGAAACCTTCCACTATTAAACGTGGTGTTGTTTCAGATAGGTATTATACGCGTTAGGTTTAAAATAGTACGTGAACACATTTACCGAAAACTACTTGTTTCATCCATACATCACAGAACGCTGATTTTCCTTGACCCGATCCAATTGTAACAGTTGGCCAACTGATCCCCACAAGTTTTGATAATATGCGGCGTGTACACTTTGCAACATTACTACAACCACGCTGCATTAAAAGTGTCACCTGAAGTAGATACGAAAATTTACTTTATCCGATTAGACGAATTGATTGTATTTATTGATCGATATTTGAAATGTATTTACCAGGGATCAATCATGATAGAAATTACAACAATTTTTGCCTATCATGGGCGGACGTGGTATCTTAGGACTGATTGAGTCGTCCCCATCGCTTCCAGAACTGTCGCTCGCATTTCCCTTGTTTCGGCACACCCTGTTTTTATCATTTCCGCTCCCAACATCTGCGTCTGACTGGTCAAATTTATGCCCACTCCCAAGAAGTTTTACGTCATGAATTGACCAGGTTTGTTCTGAAGCTTCATGTTGACCAACAGCTTTAACAATTCGGCTTGGATTTTTGTAATTGGGCCATGCACATTTAGTATTATTTGCGCATAACCATGCAGTTGACACTACCTCAATTTCATTAGTGTCAATAAATTTCACAAGAACAAAATTATTAGTGGACATTGTTACGGTGGCGCATAAAATTCTTCACTTTAAATTATTAGTGATGGTTATGCCGACAGATGAATGAGAGGAGCCGCTAAATATTTAGTGCCACACGGTAGTAAAATCACTTTCTTCACTATTTGAGACGTATTAAAGCACTTAATTGGCCCAGGTTTTGACAATAAATAAATTTTTAACACTGAAGATGGGCACGGAGTCGAGTAAAAGTTAGTCCTATCTATAAACTGTCGTCCAAGGAATAATTCCTTCCCGTCTTTCTTAAGAAATGTTTTAGTAATCACAATATTGCCATTTGGTATTTCACACGCCCTATCTGCACTTAAAACACTTAATTTAAATAATGTGTTCTGAAACTTCTTATAAAATTCAGAACAATTAGCGAAGTAGGCTGGAGGGTTGGAATACGACCACGGCGAGTTTAGGCATGGCACGAATGGAGTGGAGGCGGCTGGAAGGATTTGGTTCTCCCTCTCGATCAGTCTTCTGTGCGCTTGCTGTAAAGGGCAATTTGTTGATCTCACCAAGTTTTTAATTTCTTGAAGTTTATTTTCAAATTTGAATGCACTAAATTTGTCGAGTTGGCCGTGATTAATGCAGTCGCTTGCTAAATGTAGGAGTCCGTGCACATTAAACGACATATTTTCTTCACCATAAAGTGTTCCAAAATGCTTGACAAAATAATTAAGTAATTCATTTGCATAGTTGTTGTGTGTGATATGAAGAACTTTGTCAGCCAAAATCGATATTGCAACATGTAGTGACATAAAATGTTCATATAAGTCGTTGGAAATTATGTTTTTCAAAACCAGTGGGCCCGTATACAGTATGAACTGACGAAATTCCGTGGCTTTCCAATATTCAAGGTCCTTCAATTTGCGAGGTTTACGGGCAAATTCGCATGGTATGCTCCTTTTAAGTTTTAGTAGCTCATTTGAAATCTCTTCGATTTGATGGGGCCGCAATCTGGCAGGACACTTTTTACACTTTGTCAACAAGAATAAGATTTTTCTAACAATTCCAAGACACACTAAATGCATATACTCCCCTGGTGAGTCTCTGACCAAATCCAAGTCGGTTTTTTCAATGAATGTAGCTTCATGGTGATGTTGTGGATCAAGTCTTGCACGAAATGATGCATTGGTCCTTTCAGGGTGGTTGCCATATGGAAATATTACTCGGTTTTTATAGTATACTCCTTTAATAGTACAATTTCCACAAGAACTATATCCTGCATGGCACTTTATTCCTAGCACAAATGCACGCGCAGGTGCATCGCAAATCAAGTCACTCAACTTAATTTTATATTCAACGCCATTAATTAATAGTTGTCTTGGGGCCTCGTCCAACTACTGAAGAAATGGTGAGAAGAAGTCGTCTAAGGAATTCGGTTTTTGATGACCTGAGTATATTCCAATTACGAAAACATCGTCATTAATTGCGCCTAAAATTGGCCAGAACTGTTGGGACGAGCCGTGGTATAATGGTATTCCGTCAATATTTATTTGAATTTCCACTCTTGTATTTCTTAGATCGCGTTGCATAATTATTTTGCGGATTGATGCTACCCAGTCAAACGCGCAGTATTGTCCGGGTGGTACATTAATAACTGCTGTCGCCCTCGGGGTATGCAATAAAGTCCTACTATCAAGGGGCAGGTACTTAAAACAATGATGGCCATGAAGAAGTTTTAACAGGTCATTCGTTGCGGAAGCGGTTATGTTATGACTTATTGTCCAACTTCTTAGCTTATCACTTAAATCTGTGACTGATTCACAATCAATTTCGGTGCTCGTACTATTAACACTTGACACTGATTTCACACTCGAAGCACTATCACTTTCAACTTCAAACCTGTCGACTTCAGCTTGGGAAGAATATAAAGTTTCGTCGACTGTTGAAATTTCCAAGTTTTCCGTTAAATTTGGTGACACAGTATTTATAACTAAATTAAAGTCAGCTACAGCGCTGCGAACTTGCCTTTGCATCTGTCTATCTCGGGATTTTTTCATTTTCAGAAATATGTAATTAATTAAACTTAAAATAAATTGTTATCATAAATCCACAAAAATCTTGCCGTGTTTGTACTGTGCTTTATTAAGTTTAGCGGTGGAGGCAACATTTGGAAAGAATAACTAAACACCATTTTAACACGTTTTTAACACGAGTATTTCCCTGACTTGGTTACCAAAAATACACGAATATGAAACACGAGTTTTGCCTTGGAAAATACACGTGTTTTATAACACAGTGGATTTTGGTATTCTGCAACAGAGAAAAACACGAGTATCCAAAATATTTTACACGAATTTGACACGAACCCCAGATTGCCACGACTTTACCCCAATCGAGCACGTGTATTTCTCGGTCTGTGCAGCTAGGGTTAATAATTACCTTAGATAATTACGTATTTATGTACATATTGCTTTTGAGCCGGGGATAAAGATTCCACAATAATTATATGGAATGGATCAAATTTAATGCTTATATATTAGCATTAAATTTTAAATAAAATATAAAATAGTCAGTGAATCTGTATCATTAAAAAAAAGACGACATTACCCAACTCCACCATCTCCAAAACTTAAAAATGTTATCATACATAGTCCGATCCTCCAGCAAGCAGGAATCTAAATTCTCCACATGTGCTAAACTAAAATGTACAAAATTAATACAAAAGTAATTCACTATTTATTATTTTTTATATCTTACAGAATTTCTTGCAAAAACGAAAAAAGAAAAAGATGTTTTGAAACAAGAAGTCGCAAAGTTTGAAATACAATTAAAAGAATCTCTTAAGACTGTAAATTTCTGCTTTTAAAACATGCAGAGACGAAAGGCTGAAATTCGAAAAATGAAGGTCATACGAGGTGCCATGAAGCAAAAAAGAGAAACATTAAAAAGCAATGCTGACCAAACCCGGAATCCACCCGGAAAAGGTAACACTGTTTTTGTAATATGATTATGTATTAATACAGGGTGGTTAAAATTTCACGCTACAATGGAAAATTTGTCGATGGGAAAAATTCGTAGATTTCCATTATTTACAAAATTTTGTCTCTGAAATTCAACATTTTAAAATTTTGTTGATTAGTGGTCCATCAGTTTAAGCAATAATAATAATTTTAATAATAAGTTTGATAATAAATAACAAAAATCTCAAATATTCTATGTAACTAATGAAGCTTTAGGACTTATCCTCTTGAAAAATTTTACATTGCAGCGTGATAATTAAATCACCCAGTATTTGGATCTGTAAACTAGGATTTAAACTAGGATTTACTAGGAATTAAAAATTTCAATACTGTATTTTGCATGCATATGTAGGTCAGCCGGCGTCGGTCGTCGGCTCGTCTGCTGTTACCGTCGCACCGACAACAACCACGCGGTCAAAGTCCTACTCGCTCGATTCCGTCGATTAGGAGAATCCTTCGGAACGAATCATTACCTGGACAAAAACATGGTATGAACTCCAATCAATTTTCTAAGAAATCCGTAAAGTATTCACCGTAAAATAAAGTATTTATTTTTTCCTTAGGTGAGTCTGTCACTACCAAAAAATAGAGGACAACGGGCATCAACTTCGTATCCAGTTCCACTTTCTAAACTTATCCTGCCCAGCAGAAAAAAAAATCTATACAATAATACGTATCTGATTAAATAAATGTTGATCCGTTGTAAAAAAAAGTAAAATCTGGTCTTCACAGTTATTTAAAAATTATTACAGTATAATTTTTAGTTTCATGGATATCCTAGAAATTTTATGAATTCAATATTTCCATGAGTAACGAGGCAGACTTGTGTCCTATTTTATACCATCTTGCGGTTTAAAATTCGTGGGTTACAATAGAACTTGACCGTTTTCGATATGAAAGAATAGTGAAAAATGTACATGTGCAAAATATATTTATGTACCTCTATATATCGACGCTCTTTGTATTGGTACTTGTGTCATCAGTTTGAATATTTTCGACAATCGCAATCCAACGGAAACAGGTTTTCCACGCGATGAAAAATAATCAATCTGCGTTGTAAAAATATTTAGAAAAATTGCATGGAGGGCAGACTTCTATACATATATTACGTCATCACAAAGGTGGGTGGATAGTTTTAGGTCGCTGTCTTAAACTTACCATGAGCAGGATATGGAAGGGGTGGGTGGTCTAAAGATAGGCGTTTTTTTGATGACGTAATATAAGGAAGTTCCCCAATCCAGTTTGGACAAAATGTTTATCATGCAGCATCGGATGGCGGATTAGAGGATTGCAGGACATACATATATGTATGTACATACATATTAAGCAACAATTTCATGACAATCGTAGGAGTCCTATTAACATGTATCTCATTACTAAGCTATTAAATTAGCTAAATTCATACACTCTAAGGAGTCATCCATAAATTATGTCACGCAAAAATCGCGATTTTCTAGACCTTCCCCCTCCCCCCCCCCCTTTAACATGTGTCACATAGGCACGATATCATTCTACCTTTGGACCCTCCTCCCCCCTTTCGCATGACATAATTTATGGACCTTCCCTAAATAAATATAAGTAAAATTTACTCAGCGTTAAGCAAAAAATGATGACACAACCAAAAGATAAAATTTTGTAAACCGTTTAGCAAAATTTGTCCAAAGTTGTGTAAACTTTGTTCACCAGGTAGATAAATTTTGCACAACATAGGATAAATCTTAAATTTTGGTTGTCATCCTCTAGTAATTTCTAAGTAGTTATTTTTATTTATAGTGTACGTACATATGTATGTAAATAAATATGTACATATTTACATACATATGGAAGAACATTAAAATATAACGATGCAAGTGTCGCACTGGAGACGAAATTTGAAACTTTACTCTTTACATTTTTATTACACACTGGATCTAACCCGAGAATGAAGATTATTGTTACATACGTACAAAGTTAATGAAATTGCAAAGCCTGGGAACGTGATAAACTTTGCCTTCTGACATTCATCCTTATTCCAGACTTAAATATTTACGCAATGGGACCGCCCATAAATTATGTCACGCGAAATGGCGGAGGGGGGGTCCAAGCCTCTAATGATATCGTGTCTAAATACATAAATATATAACACATGTTAACGGGAGGGGTCTAGAAATTCGCTGTTTTTGCACGACATAATTTATGGATGTCCCCCATGGTCATATTTCATTTAACGGGGCGTTATAGCATGCTCTGCCCCGCTCTATCAGCCAATAAGTCTCTCGCTCAATATCTTCCCCCATATCTTCCCCATGCATTATACAATTTTGACCATATCCGTTGCTATTACGAGCTTGAACGTGCACTTATAAATGTGGAATTTTTTGAATTACAATTAGTATTAGTTGTGCAACAAATGACTATCGGGCTTTAAGGAATAAATATAATAGTTTTTTTAGTATTAATCAAAGAATCTTCAAACGAAAAAAGTATGATCTAAATTAATTAATATAAATTAAACTATTATATTTATTCCTTAAAGCCCGATAGTCATTTGTTGCACAACTAATACTAATTGTAATTCAAAAAATTCCACATTTATAAGTGCACGTTCAAGCTCGTAATAGCAACGGATATGGTCAGAATTATGCCGCTTTTCCTGATTCGTCTCATCTCGTCATAGAGTATGTGTGGTGGCAACGTCCCACCACACATACTCTTCCCACTGGAAACCACTAAAAACATAAACAAATCCAGATGATATTTGCAGCTTTTTGCAAAAAATTTAAAATTCCCACCGAAACTTGCGAACTTTTTACCCCACCGAGTTCATCAGTTTCGCCACTATGTGATTTATGAGGATTGGTTTAACATAAAATATAGTTAACTCTTAATGATGTCGCACAACTTAACGAGTAATTACGCCTTATCCGTGAAATAGGACCCATTTTTTAGCAAATGGAAATATGTGCTTATCTAAAATTTTGTTCATGAAGGCTTATTACATTTCATTAAAGTCGTCGTAATCAAATTTATGCTTTGCATCTCTGTCCGAAATCTTTTGCCCAGCCCAGTCCTAGAAAAGACGAGGAGTGGAAAACTAGTTATAAAAAAATGTGTAAGCCTGAAGAACAAAATGTGCAAGAAATGGCGGAGGTCGAAGAAGTTCCTGCAGACCTGGCCGAGTTAGAATTTTTGATGGATTACATCGCTACGAATTGGTCAGTGGAAAGGGGCCGTCACTTGGACCAAGAGGGTAAGCAGATTTGTATTAAGAGTTATACGCCACAGAGTTGGATATTAAGGTAGAGGGAGTTATTCTGAGAAAACGTGGCCAGATTTGGATCAAGAAATATAGATAATTTGTAAGGCGTTACAAAATTTGTGGGAAATTTAATTTTAATTATAGTTAAAATTTCGAAATTTAAAATGAATTGAAAAATGAAAAGATCACACTGTACATAGGGTTTGAACTCTCCTGAGTTTCCGATTTTTCTTTTGAAAGTTAGGATTTTGCCGGTTAAATTTTGCCTCAATGTACCCCAAACTGTGTCCAGCTTTGCATTAACCTACTCTATGAAAGTAAACTCCCTCTATCTATTTATGTAAATATCCAACTCTATGATTTACATATGTACATACAGTGTAAAAATCAGGCAGAGTTACATGCATAAATATATATAAAATTACTGGTATTGGTTTGGTAGTAATTTCATACCGGACTGGTAATAAGAATTTACATAGTTGGTGTCTGAGTGGTAAATTTTTCTTTAGCGTGAAGTTCTGTGTAAAAAAACGTGATCGATTTGAGGGTACGGGGTTAGGGTTAAAGGATTTAATTTTACATACAGTATGTACATACGTAATTAACATGTAGAGGAAGTATATATAACTTCAATTGTGATTTTTTTAAATTAAAAATATTTATTTTATGCACTTTTTTCAGAAAATATCGTCATTTCAGGCTCAACCGATTCTGGAATGGAAGTAGATATTTCCGAGGAAGAAAACATTTCCTAGGAGAATGAGAATGGTAATATTATATATGAAATTAACTACACTCTCAATAATTTTGTGCTACGAAAGATTGCTACCGGCGGAGATGTTATGCAATTCTACCCCATGGTAACACTTTTTACTACATAGCAACAAGTTGTCTTTCTAGGGTAAGAAATTGCTTCCAGCGTCGGTAATATTTTCTGTTGACATTGGGGGCGAGCAAGATTTAGCCTTTCAATGTGTTTATGTTACCCTTCGTTGATAAATTGTTACCAAAGCGGTAGAATTATGTATGTACCTCCGCCGGTAGCAAATTTGTCACAAAATTATTATATTTTACGGCTAAACATTTCTACTATTAAGTACGTATTTTAGCTAATTTACAATCTAAACTAATCATTTAAGATGCTGCATCGGACGATTACGCCGCCGCTGGGAATGTTCCTGGGAATCAAACCGAAACCGGAAATGTTCCGGAATAGAAGGAATTAATCCGATTTGGTCACATATTTACCGGGATTATTGAATAAACATAATGTTGCATATTTTTATGTGTGTAACTTCATACATATGTGGCTTTTATCAGTTTGAGAATGTGACTTTAAAATAAATACTGGATCGTCATTTAGGAACATAAATTTGTTGAAATCTGGTACACTCTTAAAAACCTCATCTAATTATCTACTCTAATAAAGTGTTAGTATGATCCCTGGGTCCCTGGGTCCGTCTTCGCAATGCAAATTGCCCCATACAGTAGACAAAGAAGGAAGCGGAGCAACCACTGCATGCATGCACTGCACTGCATGAATAAATGAATACATGAACATGTACACCCCACATACATACATCACTCATCAATAGTGGTTATCATGATAAGTGATCGTGATAAACACTATTAATTAATTATTTTAGTTTGAGAAACTCTACCCACAGCGAGTGGCATGTCAATTCGAATGTATTTTTGACGCTGAATCCAACGCCGTCAATTGCTTGGCGTTAATTGTAGAAGTTAACGGGGTTTATGGAACTTAACGCGAGCGTGAAGCGTGGGAATTTAAATAGTTAGCTATGCAGTTACTCCCACGCGACGGGAATTTAAGTAATTAGCTATTCAACTACTCCCACAGGGGGGAATCAAATTTTACTGTGACCAGGTTAATTAAAGTGCAGTATGACTTGGGCAAACCCTCAGTCTGATGTATGTATGTAGTATGACAAAGTCTCCACTGGGAATTATTTAAAATATAGTATGACGGATTTTTCGCTTTGGGCACACCCCCCACTGGAACTCTAGAACCCGGCCTTGGCCGGGCTATACGCTAGTTCATGATAAAATTAAATTGACACCAGACCGTAACAATTTCTCACAATGCGGGCAAGATTCATCACACGGGGTGGGAAAATTATCACTGTTTGGTAAAGTCACATAGGTAGGTACATAAATTTTCACACGTTTTGGTGACGATTATCCACAGGTTTTTAAGAGTGTAGTATTCAGATAATCCGTAGAGGATACCTACCTATGTATTTACGTCTGAAGTTATGCTTCAAATAGTATCCTAAGATACGATGCATACCATGTCTTCATGCATTAAACATTTACATAGCTTGTGGCCGTTCATAAATTACGTAAAGCAAAAAATCGTGATTTTCTGGACCCCTGCCCGAACATGTGTTGCATAAGCACGGCATCATTAGCACTTTAGTTAGATTAGTCCCCCCAACCTGCTTCTCCCTCTTGCGCTACGTAATTTATGGACGGCCCCTTTTTGCATAACCCATGTGTATCAAAAAGTCAGTACATATCTTCAGACATTATTAAAATTATTTACATAATTATATATATCTTCATAATTGATCATTTAATCTTAGCTTACATATTCAATTTACCGGAACTTGTAATATCGATCATTACCATTTAGTAATTTGTAGTACGTAAAAACTACCATTCAGCAATAATCTACTACCACTCTGGTAAGAAGTTATTACCAAATCAATATCAGTAAGGAGTATTTATGTTCTTACATACCTGAATCTACCAGATTTTTAACAATGTATAATTTTTGTCGTGACAGATTTTAAGTTTTTGCTGATTTCTGTCAACACATTTTAGACATATGTATTTCCAGTTTTCCTCGAGACTATGTATTTCCCCAACCAGTCTGTTTAATTAAGTCGGAATAAAGATGATGTCAATTTAACGAGTTGTTGACTAAAGGAAAGTAATTTATTGGAATTTCTAGACATTGATTACTTATTAGCCGATGGATAAATATTTCGACCTGTAGAGAAGAATTGAATGCAGTTTACTTAAAAATCTTCAAGTTTGTACCTTAAATAAATATGCTAATTTGTCACAGATCTTGTTAGAAGTACCTGCATCCTCCAGAATGTTATGTAATGAGAGTCATTAATGGATTATTTGATCCTGTTTGGTGTAAAAATCATAAACGCACTTTAAAAATCAAAGAATTTGTAACTTAAATATATAGTATAGTTATGCTAATTATGCTAATTTTTGGGCTATTTCGACTTAATTAATTAGCTACCTGTGTCCTATAAATAAAATCTGGGAGCAAAATCTGTCACAGTTCAGTTTATTTTGAAATCCACTATTGACAAGATGCAATTCAAGACAATCTTTATTTTTTCCTACTTGGCAACCGTTGCCATGGCGTCGACTATGAAATTACGGACCCAGAATCCCACCGGGTTGACTGGCGAAAAAAGGGGCGCATTAGACGAGGTATTTACAGATTTAGTTAATTTTATGATTAATTAGTTTATAATTATTAAATTCTTACATTAAATTGTGTTTTAGTCAATTTACTTAATTAATTTATAATTGTTTCTCATTCTTTTCATAGCTGATGAAGCGCGTTCTGCCCAAAATTAAGGAGGACTGGGTTAAGGATGAGCTATATGTTTTGAAATTTCTTTGAGGTAATTTATATTATTTGTGAAAACCTTTTTTAAGTTTGTATTTTTATTATAAAATTTTGAGAAATATTCAGCCAAAAATTTCAATGTGGACGATGCCGAGCTGTATTTCATTGCGGTATGAAAAATAATTAGTAGTGATATTTCCTTACATTAATTAATTTGAATGGAATTAATAATAGTTGAAGTAAAGTTTCCGAAATTAGCAACATTTAGTATAAACAATTTTTTATGAAAATCTATTTGAATTTAGTCACAAATTTAGCCAGACTTCAGTTTCATTTCGAAAACTAGTAATAAATTAATAGACACACTTTTGAATAAAAATGAATTCAAGTCGAAATAAAAAAATTAACAAATTTCACTCTCTAAAAAATAGCATCTCTTTTGGCGCGAGGATAACAAAATGAGCACAATTTTAACCGAGGACTTTTCCGATATGAAGAAAGATTTTCCTTACAAATTCGACGGTCATGACAAACAAGGACGGCCACGTAAGTTTTGGAAAAATAAATGAATGTATACACACACTTAAAATAGTGTCACCCTTTTGAAGAGCAAATACACTCTAAATTCTAAATTTATTCAGAAAACTGTACAAAATCCAGAGTAAAATTTACTCGTTTTCCTCTGAATTTAGTGTCGTTTTCTAAATTTATGTTTCAGTTTTCAAATGGGATACATTTTTAGGTGTGCATGAATAAATGTCAAAAAAATCCAAAAATTGTGAATATTACGGTTTTTTTTAATTCTGAAAATTTTACCCAGTTTTGACCGTGGACTTTGGCTCCTGGGATTTGGACGGGGCCGCGGAACGTGGTCAGATTGACCGCTCGCTCCGCTACTATGACCGCATATTGGACGAAGCGGAGCATAAACTGCTCGATTTGCAGCATCAGGGCAAAAATGTCACACAATTCGTCTGGCTAATAAACCAAGATAATAAAGCTTCCATCAGCTTGGCAGGTAATTCGGTCAGGTGTTAATTGAAATTTAAAAATAATTAACCAGCAAAATCATGAAATTAAAAAAACTTTCATTAATTTTTACTAATACATCGAGGGCCAAATTTTGAGGTAAAAAATCTGACAAGAATGCGTAAAAAATTTTACGATCATAAATTTCCAGACCAGTTTTTCTAATGATTCTGATCCACTGCGAGGAAATTGCAATTTCAAAAACTTATAACACAATTATTAACATGAAATGATAACACTTTCATCCGTTTTAGGTAATGTATGTTTTTCGCAAGTCAAAAAATTTGGGGGTGCATGCCCAAAAATCTAGGACAAAATGATGCATGAAATTATTTTATTTAAAAAAATTTGTAAGAAAATTGTTTTAAAATTTTGAAAACTTTCAATTTCGCTATTTTAAAATTTTCGCACCATTTTATTTTTAAAAAATTACCAAACTCCTTTTTTATAGTAATAAGTTTGCATAATTAATTCCAGCTTCCCGAGCTTACTGGCATTACGCTACCGTTTACGAAAAACAACATCCCGGCTCCGGAACGAGAATACTTATGATAAATTGTAGGAAAACTGTTTTAAAATTTTGAAAACTTTCAATTTCGTTTTTTTAAATTTTGTCATCGTTTTTTAAAATGTAGCCCCGTCTATCTTTTCATCCGCCATGTCGGCCATTCGTCCGTTATTGTCGCAGGAATCGAACGACATCTTTGACAACTATGCCGACGAGAAGGAATGGAAACCCATCGTCCTGGATTTGGTGGACGCGGACCAACTGTCCCCTTCCTATGGGGGAACGAAGGGCACGGGCAAAAGCAAAATTCTTGCGGGCACGTTTCACGGAGACGCGAATAAACCCGGGTCTTGGTCTTGGCCCAAATTTTTCGGGCCCAGACACTGATCCGGTTTCTTTCTTGATATACTTTTAAATCGAAAAATATTGATTTGCAAAATAAAATCAGTTAAACATATTGCTTGTTATCATAGATGCATACATAATCGAAAAATGTTGATTTTCAAAAAAAAATTGGTTTTAAAATGTCTTCAATTAAATACTTACAGTAATTGAAAAATTAGTTTATAAAAAACTATTTATTGGTTTTGAAAATATTGCATCAAATACTTGTACTCATCCAAAAATTCTGGGTGTCTGAAAGACAAAATTTCCCTTTAAAATATTTCTCTTTGCCTATAATATTTTCAAAATAATTGATAAATGTTTATTTAAAATTAAAACAAATTGCATGCGTATTTACATACTTGAAAAATACTGCTTTTAAAAATATTTAGTACATAGGTCGACGCCGCCGACCATACGCCGCCGACGCCGGTACTATTTTACGCGCCGCCGCCGCCGAAAAATTTGGTTTTCAATACCTTCAACATTGCGACGCCGCGCCGCGCCGCCGAAAAATCACCAAAAACTGGCGCCGCCGCCGCCGAAAATTTGTCGGCGTCGACCTCTGATTTAGTATCTCATGTATCTATGCACGTAGAGAGCAGGGAAAAAGTATTAGGACATTAGTCAAAAACGTATTATAAAAACTTCCAATTTTGGTATAATTTGTTAAATATATCTAATCGCAGACATCCGCGACTTCAAAAGAATTAAGTCCATCTCACATTACATATTGTATAAATTTTGTACATATTTAATTTTATTTAAAATAAATATAGATTAAATTAAATTAAATCGATTTTGGTTTTGATAAATTTCTTATTCCTTGTGGATGTGGATATATAAAATTAGTTTACGTCCTTTTAGAAAGGCCATGGACGGCGGTAAGATTTCGATTGGCTTGGTTTACTGCTGCGAATTAATTTGATCTCATTGGAGGTATCAGGGGTGAGAGGCTGGATTATGCAGGTTCGTTGTACTTTCGTCTTATCTGCAAAACAAAATTCCAGCCATGCACTTATGTAAATCATGGAAAAATTAAAACGTGAGAAAAATCGTTTCTAATTGATAAAATGGAATTTGCGAAATTCCAAGGTACAATATTCCAAGGAATTGCTTAATAATATTTGAAAATTGAGTAGGATGCATAAATACATATGTGCAAAAAAAATCACGAACCTGAGTGTATGAAATTTTCTGCGCAATCCTTATTTGACTCAATCACCAAAGCAGCATCACTAACTTGACGTAACTTTGTGCCAGGTAGATTGATGCCTTGATCAACTAGAGGGTCTGTACCATCTTCTCGTATGATGTCGACTTCTTCGTCTATCGAGTCGGCTGCGTGTATGACGTTGATATCCGCATGATTAATTTCACCATCTCTATTCGAGAAAGGAGGAGTCTCGTTACTTCCAAGTAACATGGTCCTCTTAGAATTGGTTGAATTGGGATGAGCGATAGTCCTGGGAATAATATCGGTTAATATGAATCCTTGATTTACCAAGCTAGAGAATTTTTAACCACGATAATTTTTGACAGGGTTCTTCACAATTTTGGCATAATGAGTGTTAAAATTAGGGCTGTCGAATCCGGATTTTTTGAATTTCGAATTATCGAAAATCCGGATTTCATTTTGGAATGAATCCGGACATCCTTAATTTAAAAACTAATTTTCATGTGAACTGTAAAGATACAAATTGTTGGGAAAAGTGTAAATTAAAAAAAGTGTGTTCATGTTATTCATCCCAGATAGTTATTTTACCATATTCGATATCAAACTCACCTTTGTTGAAATTTCACATTTTTTAGTCTATCAACTTAAAATTATACCAAGAAACTATCTACATGGTCAAAAAATTTTAAACCATGATGAAAATTTCAAAAAAGCTTAAATTTCCACTGAATATGATCATGAAGTGTTCCACATTTATCAAACTCGTTCAAATATCAAGGAACTTGATAAAAACCATAAATAATTGAAACCCGGATTTAGGCCCTCGGATAATCCGAAATCTGGATTTGAAAATTCGGAACGGATTTGGCAGCCCTAGTTAAAATATGTATCTAAAAGCTGACATACTTACCTTCGAGCTGGCAACACATCCTTGGCGTGCGAGTGTCTGCAATGTTCCGTAAATTTTACCGATCGCAAATTATCCCTCTGGCAAAGTGGGAATGAACATTTGTGAACGTAGGTCCCACCCACGGGTCGGAATCGGTCGGAATGTTTAGCAACCCAGTGGTCGTGACGGAAGTGAATCTCTGTGAATATTTCAGTACAGTGGAAACATTTAAATTTTCCCAGTGGGCTCGATCCAGTCGAAACGTTGCCGAGTGGTTTTGTTGGAGGAGTAAAAGTACTGTAATGAAGGGAAGATGGCAACGGTCCACCTGAAAAAGATGGATTAGGGACCAGAATTAATTTAACTTGCAATATCGTCGTACTAATTCAGAAAAGACCTAAGTGCAGTCTACGCTTAATAAAGAAAAGACCTAAGTGCAGTCTACGCTTAATAAAGAAAAGACCTAAGTGCACAAAAAAAACACGAGAAAAGACCCATGTGCAAATATTATTTACTCATGGCTATATCTTGCCATAAAACGATTCTTCATATATCGCTCGATTTAGCCATACTTGTAGGTCTTTTCTGGTGCTTTTTTATGCACTTAGGTCTTTTCTGTATTAAGCGTCAACTGCACTTAGGTCTTCTTTGAATTAGTACAACAATATTTAAGCTTGGATGTGGTCACGCATACCATAAAATATAAGACTGGGGCTGTCGTCACTCGAGGTGGATGACGATAAATTTATGGTTGAATGTGGAACCAGTATTGGAGTTGATAAGGGAATGATTTTTTTAATAGTGACGGGGTCATCTGGTCCCATATTTAGTGGGGGATGGACAGTTCTGATGGATGGATGTGTGTCGTCAGTTTCAAATATGGAGGAGACGGTAGAAGGATTTGGGGGTGCGGCGCACGGAAAGACAGTTTCGACACTAACGACTTTCTCGCTATGGATGTCGCCAAGCTTTAGTTTTTCAAAATCTTTGTACTCTTCACCTGTGGAATAATTTATGTACAAGGACTGGATTTAAATTGTTGTGGACGAATGATGAGTAAGAATTAATGTGAACACGATTTTGGAAAAATATTTAGACTACGGTCGAAAGGATTAATTGACTAATTATTTACCGAATTTTAGCTGGATAAATTCCTGCAAAATATCTAGTTGTTGGCATAACCTGGTGACACGTTTGGCCAAGAGTGGAGCCATTATGGTCGTAGTAAATTTAAATGGTAAATTATGTAAGTGAATAATTTATTATATAATTGATGACGGTGTTTGTTTACAAAGTATGGACCGAAACAATGTATCGCAGCTGATTGTGAGTATGAAAGAGAGAAAAAGGCAAGTCTGCCTCTCTCTCATGCGGATCGACGTCTGGAACTGGTATGGGAAAGATTGAGACTCGAAATAATACAATATGCACCTGTTTAACTGTTCAATTTAAATATGTTTATGTTTATTCATATATAATAAAATAATTATATTATCATCATAATTTATGATACATATTATGTATCATAAATGTAAATGTTTTTCCTTTTCCATAATAAATTCGTCACACAATTATAGTTCCAATACCGCGCAAAATACCCAGTGGGCTGATGCTAGCTGTAAGTAGCTCATAAGGGGAAAACCACTCGAGATAATTAAAATCTGATAAGTGCATTGGATTCTACGTGCGATTTTACTTGGATATCACAAGTTCGTTTTTAACTGATTAGAAAGCATATCAGCAGGGAAAATCTTGAAATGACGCGAGTGGTGATAATTTTTCACTTAAAAAATGGCGAGAGAAATAGTGAATATGAAAAGTTTGAAAGGAATTGAACGTGCGCTTTAATTTAGTTCAACGAACCATAAAAACATTCATTTGGACCTGGCCTACTAAGAACAGTCGAAGTAGGAATTTTTTGAAAACCTACAAGGACGACACCCATGCTGAAGGCGCTGAAAGCCGAAATCAGGAAGAATCTACGAAATTCCAACGGAAAATAGCCTCACAGCTCACATTGTCGATGGACCGTATTCAACGAGTGCTCAAACTGAACCTTGAACTTAAGGCTTTGGAACGTAGTACTTGCCGCATGCTTACCATCCCCCAAAAGAAAACCAGGTTAAAGAAATGCATGGCTCTCTTTAAGCGGTACGCTAAAAAAGAGTAAAGATAATTCTTGTTGCAGATGAGCAGATTTTAATTGTAAAGAATTTTTTTAACCCAACAAAATGACTTCGTCCATGCAAAATAGGCCAAAGATATCCCTCAATATGAAAAAAGGTCAAAAGGTCCCATTATCCATGTTTTGCGATGGTTTTTGTAGGTGAGCGCTGATTAGGGGTAATTTCTCCACATTTTGTTGAAACGGGGAGGAAGGTCAAAGAAAAAAAATTCTTGAAATACGTTTTTGAGTCCGAGGTACATCTACTAAATGAGATCCAAGTCAATGGAGTCAACTGGACCTCGATATAGGACACAGTACCACTACATATTCCAAAAAATGAGCCAAGGGACGCTAAAGACCAAATTCCGAACTTTATTTCCGCTGGGGAATTGTCGTCCTCCTTGTTGGATTTGAATCTCTGGACTATGAAAAACGGTCAAAGTTAGGGGCAAAGGTGTGTTCTAAGCCTCGTAGAAGTGTCGCGGCTTTAAAAAATTATTTGACCCCGGAATGATACAATTTGTCCACGGATTCAGCGTGTGCTCCACTAGAGGACTGGAAGCGACATCTTCAGCGCTGCATTAATGGAGGGGGAGTAAATTTTGAAAACTAAAAATTGTTTTCTACTCAGAAATTAACTGGCTTTCCATTAAAATTAACTAGAAATGTGTAGCACAAAAACCCTTGATGCTACAGCGCTTTATTTCACTTACAGTTACTGAGGGCCACCCTGTATAATAAACGGTGTCAAGCCACTGAATATGAAAAAGTCGTATCAAAATGATTGAAATGTACTTTAAAATTACACACTAAATGTATTTTTCTCCTTTAACCTCATCAGTGTATTACTCACTGGTAAAAACATTAATGACTTAAAAATTAAAAAAACAATGGCGAATATACTGGAGGCATTCTAAACATATCCAGCATACCGACAGACAGACGAGCGGACGGACAAAACTATCCCAATAAACGGCTGACGGCAATTAACAACTACGCCTTTTCCTCTTTGTCGGGCTGAAACAGACCGCAATAACTGCGATAAAAGCCATCAGCAGGACGATCGAGGCTATCACGAGACAAAAATAAATTTCCACGATTGCATTAGGCCAATCTCTCCCTCTTTTGCAAGCAGTCAGTCCACACCCGCAAAATGCATTCATGCAGCACCCGCTATTGGTGCACATGCGCACCATCATGTGGCGCACGACGGCCACGATGTAAATCCCGACGTGGGCAGCGGCGACGATAGCGTTGGCTAAATTTGGGTGAAATAGTTGCGGCAAAGGGTCGATTTCTCCCTCTTGGTCGGGATTGTGCTCGTTAGTTCCATTTTCGCCCATCTCCGTCGTTACGTTTTTTGGTAAGACATCAGACGCCACCTACACGCATGTAAAAACATACCTGTTCACATTCATTCATTTATTAGAGAATGACGGAATTATTCATTATTCCATAAATTCATACACAATGAGTGAATACTTTTTTTTATAATTTTTGTGTCAGTGATTATTGAAAAAAAATTATTCATGATGAATGAATGAATAATTTTCTTCATTACTCATTACTCGCCATTTGCTTAATATATGTAAAGGGTATATTGAGAAATCCTTGTAATTAAGCGAATTTCAGGCGATTTGAAAAATAATGAATAATGAATAAACATTTATTTTTAAATGTTTAATAACGAATGAATAAATTTTTCCCAGTTTTAAGTTGAATGAATTTTGAATGAAGAAATTCTTTTTAAGGGAACAAATATTAAAGAAAAGTATTTTATATACCTGAAGCACGCTTCCCATTAAGCAAATCATGATTACCGATGAAACCAGGATGAGTAGGATTCCCCACAAAACGTTGAAGTCCAGCCAGGGTTGGAAGGTGAATATGATGAAGGAGACAAATATGAAGGTCAGGGTGGCCATGAACAGGATGGACTTGTAATAAATCTCCCTACAAAGTGGGAGAAATGAAAAATATACGTGGAAGAATTTGTATGTATTTGTACGTACACCACCAAACGTGTTCACTTTCATTCATTGGATGGATCATGATAATGAATGAAAATAAATTTCCTGTAATTGAATGAATGACCGTAAATGAAAGAGTTTTTAACTCCTTCCATTTTTCACGTTATCCTTAATACATAGGGCGAAGTGAGAAATGAAATCAGATGAAATGAATATGAATGAAGATAACAGATTCAAAAATTCACAAAATGAATTAAATTCACTACCATAATCAGTAGCATGAATGAAAGTGAACAGGCATGGGGGTACATATGTATGTAGGTATATGTATGTGCACTCCGTAATTTGTACAGGTAGCGCGTTGGTACACTCTTAGAAATGGGTTACGATCATAACCAAAAAGTAAACGTATATGACTCTACCGCCGTGGTTATGAATTTGTCACCAAATGGTTTTAAAATTATTAGTTCAGGCGACAATTTAATACCAAGTCAGTGAAACTTTATAATTAGTGGGTGACAATTGTAACCACTCGATGACAAATTTATAACCACTGCGGTAGAGTCACATACGTTTATTTTTTGGTTATAATAGTAACCCCATTTCTAAGAGTGTAGTAATTTTCTACCTGATTGGTAGTAGTACAGAATTCAGAGTGCATCGACATTTTAACAGGTTTACATTATTTTTAAGAGTGTAAATTTACATACACTTACAGTTTGCTAATAGAAACGGCATACACCATCAAATATACGACACAGGCTGACAACAGTCCCAATACGGGGAGGCTCATGTACCAATAATTTCGCCATGATTTCCACACCGAACAGGTAATCAGGATAAATCCACCGATAATTGTACTCCCAAATGCGAAATTATACGAAACGTCGGATTGGAATTGATTTTCGTGAATGTCAGTAAGTCTTGATTTTGCCAAAAGTATCTCTCCAATCGAAACAATCAAGTGGAAGACGAGCACAGAGAAGATTTTCCTGTCAAGTTAATAAACATACGAAATCATTTAGGGAACGTTCATACATATATTTATGACGTCATCATTTTAGGGTGGGAGGTCTATCCTTCCCATGTTAAAATTCCCTATCCCTTAATGTTTACGTTGGGTGGGTGGGTGGTTGATAAAATCGAGAGTTTCTCATGACGTAATATGTGAATGGCCTCTTAGTAAATTCAGTGTAAACTTTACTCTTTACCAAGTTTGCGTCACTCTTGATTTATTTAATGCAGAATTTGATGTACATTTACTTACTTAATCGAAAAAGTAACACTATTCTTAAGAGTGAATTCAAAATTAGGTAGTACTCACCTCACAAATATTAATCTCGCTTTTTGATCCAACATTAAATCAGTCTGCATGTCTTGACTCAATGCAACTTCTATTCGATCTAACTGAGCTTCCATCGTGTCAAGTTGAGATGATAAGTTTTGATCCCCAGGAACACCGCCGCCCCCACCATTCTCAATTTGGTGTTGATGGATTACGTAAATTGTTTGTGGAGTCGGTACCGGTTGCGGAATTGGTGCTGGTGGTGGTTGGGAAGGGGTTACGTGAAAATGCACATTTTGTTGTGGGTGGGGGGACATTGGGTAACAATTTCCAGGGGGATAATTCACCTCATTATAGGGTGGGGGTGGATCTGATTGTTCGTAGAAGTGGCTTGCATCCAGAATTTGTGGGGGAGGAGCACTTGGAACGTAGTCGTTATTATGCATGACGAACTATGTATTTATTGTCTCACGTATTTTTCTATGTAAATGCGGATTGGTATTAAAGAGTGTACATACATAGCTACATATACTTCTTAAAATAATGCACTCTTTTGAAAAGTACATATGAATTCTAAATTCAGTGACCTGCTACATGAACCCAGACTAAAATTTGACCCTGATCAGGTAAACGTTGCATCATTCTCACTAAAGGGTAAAAAATTATGGGTAAGAATTTTGCGAAAATTCTTATTCCATACACATTTATTTAACTGTTTTGAATTATAACGATTATAAACAACTTATTGTAATAGTAACACGGAGCCAAAGAACATTGTTGCATTCGAGTTTAAAATGCAAAGTCCAACTGCGACCATGACAATGAATTCAATTCTGTGACGCTGTCAATATGCAAATATGCCCTCCAGGCTTGACGAGGCTTTTCTTAGTATGTACATATGTAAGCCGGATCTGACTGTCTTCTCCGTAGATGAGATGCTCATAAAGATCATCAAATTATTGGGAATGTTTCATAACGTAAATTCGTCACATATGTAACAAGCATATGTACAAATATGTGAGAGGCATACACAATTGATTTTTTATTGAGCTTCATGCAAAACAGGAACACTCTTAAAAATATTGGTACCTGTTTTAATAGTAAATGCACTCTGAATTCTGTATTAAATAAGCTATACCAAATCAATAGTAAACTTTACCCTTCATCAGGTTAAAGTTACTCTGGATTTTGTACAATTTACTTAATACAAAATTCAGAGTGGGTTTTCGTATTTATATGTAAATATTTGTAAGATTGAACTGAAACAAAAAAGTGAGTGTACTTAAATACTTGTGATTTTGTAATAAGATTGAGGATATCCATGGATATTCATGATCTTCCGTGGGGGCCATTCATAAATTATGTGAACCGAGAAGGGAGGCTCAAATTATATCGTGCCTATCTTACACATGCTAATTGGGTGGAAGGGGGTTCAGAAAATTGTGATCTTTGCATTACGTAATTTATGGACGGCCCCTGATTCCTCCGTATTCTGCGTATCGTAAAATTAGATACGACGGTTACGAGATTTTGTCAGCGAAAACTTCGTTGGCAACGTTACGATTTCTTGCAAACTTGACCCCTTGTTGTTTCTTCCTAAACTAATTTGATTACCGTCATAATCCATGGAACGAATGGATTTCAATTCAACATAAAGATACGTATTTATGTGACCACGTCTCTTATAAAGTCGAAGTTAACGAAGTAACCATTGTATGTAAAACTGGCATCATTTGCTTACATACATACATCAATTTACGTAATACATAACTTGTGTAAGTGTGTTCTCTTCCCATACGTATGTTAAGAATAATAGTAGCATTATGCATTGCGCTATCACACGCAATAATATAGATATTACTTTACTGTTAACAAAGTATACATACACATACAGATATACACACATATACGTAGGTGTTTTATTATTGATTTTCAAAACGTATGTTCCGCATTGTTTCTGACCAAAATTTTGATGAAATAACAAACTTCAGATACATTTAGGATGCTGTGATTTTTTTCAGCTCTTTAGGTTAACATCACCACTAGCAATAAATCATCAAACTTTACCTCGACGGAAAAAATGTCAGATTTGCAAATTAAATATCGTAGTGTGATTTAACTTTTAACGCTGGAAGGGCAATCGGTGTCGCAGATTTATGATCGCATGCTTAAAGTTTACGATGAAAACTGCCCAACACAAAGCACAATATAAATTGGGTCAGTAACTTCAAATGATGACGAAAAGTGGTCTCGGACAAAAAGTCGCCAGGACGCCCAAAATCAGTTTCTTCCACAGAAAGGCTCCAGAAACTAGAGGAACCAATAATTAGAGATCCACGATTGAAACTGTCCTATTTAGCAGATAAGATGGGTGTTCCAAAACCAGCAATTTGTTCCACGTTAACTGAAGACTTAGGTATGAAAATGGCTTCCGCCCGTTGGGTACCAAAATTGCTTTCGGCATCTCAACAACAAGATCGAGTTGACCTTTGCAATGCCAATTTTAACCTATTAAATGAAAACTGGAACCTGCTTCATATTTTAGTAGTTGCATATGATACTTGGGTTTACTATTATGACCTGCAGACTAAACAATACTTCATGCAATGGGAGCACGGGGGGTTGCCACCGCCCATGAAAGCAAAAGCGTAAAAATCTGCCAAAAAATTGATTATGACTATTTACAATGATACAAAAGGTCCCCTTCTTACATAATTTCTTGCTGGAAATACTACGGCAGCCTATGCAGGAACCCTGACGGAGTTGCGTGCTGCGGTTGAAGAGAAACGTGAGGTCAAAATAAAGAGTTGGCCTTTTTTTAGACGACAACGCGCCAACAAATACCTCGCTGGTTTCGAGGGCTGCTGCAGACGAAAAACGCTTCACCGTCATAAACCACCCCCCGTACAGTCCAGCCTAGACCCTTAGTGATTATTATCCGTTTGAAACGTTGAATAAAAGCATGAAGGGGAAACGATTTTGGGATGATAATGGAATCAAGTCGTAAATTTTTGCATATTTTCGAGGTAAATTTGGATGATTTATTGCGGGTGTTCCTTTTAACCGATTGAGCTGAAAAAAATCACGACTTCCTAAATGTATTTCAAGTTTGTTATTTCATCAAAATTTTGGTCAGAAACAGTGCGGAACATACCTTTTGAAAATCAATAATAAAACACCCACGTAAATAAATAATCTGATAATAAACATTACCGAAAAGCACAAGTATATCACTCTACCATAGTGGTAATGATAAGTTCTACCGTGTGGTAATGGCCTGGTAATAAAGTTTTACCATCATCGTAACGAATTTTTACTACTTGGTAAAATATTATTACCAAATTTATTACCGAGAAATCGTTACCTGCGTGAATTTACCGGATTATTAAGAGTGCACCCATCGCCGGGAAAAATTTGGGAATAACTTGAGATAACCCAATTGGCAATGAAAAATTGCACTGCCAATAATCATGTTCTCTTAGCAAAATGGTATTGAATCATTATCAACCGGAGTACATATTTGCAGTGTGATACAACCTGTTATAAAAAAGTTCTTAACAAATTGAAAACATGGAATTTGTTTTTGACTTGCTTTCCCTTGGTTACAAAATGTTTCCATAATACATAATTCTCAAAAATAGAGCGTTATACTGAAAACCCCTGCGGGTTAGGATTTCTCTCCAATTTATTTAGAGTGCAGCTTTCTGAGAAAAGCCGTATTTTAAAGAACAAAGGAAAATCTTCGTGGGAAAGTACATGCACGGTGAGATCTTCCATTCAACCTCACATAATCTGAGACGCAGAGAATTTTCGCAATTCGGCATCGATTTTCCGAACACAGATCTCGGCCATGGATCAACTGGAGGAGAGAAATGATCACTCTACTTTCACCGGTTTGACTTTCACCAGTGCCGTGCATGTACTAGAATATTTACAGATCCCAGATAAATAAATAACGAGGGAATTCACGTTAAAGTTTGTAGCTGGGTTAACTTTGTAAGCTTATGTATGTATTTACATACCTACCGACTTTACACACATTCCTAAGGAAAATTAACTTACGAATTTTTACTCAATTTTCTCTTGTATATTTTTACGAAAATTGTTTACAAAGTTAACGTACATACGTCAAGATTTTGTAAACTTACAAACTTAAAGCGTTAATTTGCAGATTCCGCACGAAAGGTACAAATTTATGTAATAAGCTCTTCTTTTATAAATACATATGTACATATACATACATTAATACACTCTTAAAAATGGGGTTGCGATTATAACCAAAACGAGTGGTTACAATTATAACCAGTACGAGTGGTAACCGACTAATTATAAAGTTTCACTGACTTGGTATTAAATTGTCATAATACCTAATTAATTTATAACCAGTTGGTGACACATTCATAACCACGGCGGTAGAGTCATATACATTTACTTTTGGTTATAATCGTAACCCCATTTCTTAGAGTGTACGAAATACACTCTTAAACATAATTTTACCCTTTTGAACAGTAGGAATTCTATCTGTATTAAGTAATCTATGCTAAATTAGTATTACTAATTCCAGGGTAAACTGTACTCTTTATTAAGTTAACCCTGCTCCTGATTTATGTAGTAGAGAGTTCTTTATGTGAAATTCAGATTGCGTTTACTGTTAAAAAGGGTGACATTATTTTTAAGAGTGTGACTTCACTAAAGAATTTTCCGAGCGTAAAAATGGAACTTCCCAATCTGATGCCAATGCATCGCATGCTGAGCCAGTTGACCTCCCACCAAGTCCCGACGGACGAAGATATCAGCAACGTGGAATTCAAAGCCGAACAGGCAAGTTTTTAATTAATCAGAATTTATAATTAACGTACATAGATATCACTTTTGGCCCAAAATCAGCACATTTTTAATCATTTCTCGGGTCTGGAAATTTATTTTAAAATTTTGAACCACAAATTTTTGCATCCGGTCTTTGTCAATTTAAAAGCAATATACAATCCTAAATATGGAGATTTCAAATTTAATAAGACGCCTTCAGAAAAATTGAAACGCATCGAAACGAGGTTGAAAACTCATGGCATTTCCTTCATTAACCTTCTACTTGTATATAAATATGTCGCTCAGAATTTTAAAATAAATTCCCGGTAATGTACACTTTTACACCCAACAATTCTCACCCAACGATTCTCACTCTTTACAAATCCTCACCCAACAATTCTCACTCAAAAATTATGGTAAAAAGGTGAGAATTGTTGGGCGTAACTTGCCATAAAATCAAATTCTTAAAAATTCTTAAAAATTTGAAACGGAAATTATAAAATTATGGTGAGTTGGTGATAAATCATGAAGTACTGTGTTAAATTTTAAATTAACTTATTCAAATTTTACAGATATTTAGCGCTCTCAAAGCGCACAGTGAGGTTTCAATTAGTCAAATATTTTATGCCGGAAGTATCTCAAAATTCACTCAAGATCGTAAAGGATTTGCCCAACTATTCGTATTTCTGAGTGGTGTCGAGGATTCTCCACCAATTAAAGAAATTTTACATGATTGGAGATCTATCATCGCGAAATGGGCGGACAATGTGGACGTTGAGTTGATCAAGATGACCAACACAAGTCTCTACTTTGCTTGTGGGGATGAGAAATATATCAGCATAATTCCGTCCCCGGATGTGGGCAAGGATCAAGAAGTACACCCGATCGAGGCAGTCGCAAATTTTTTGAAGGATCAGTCAGACTTTGTACTGCAGGTAGGAAACTTAATATTATTCACACTCTTAAAAATATTGCTATCCTTGTCAAATGCACGTACTGAAGCTGGGCTCGGATCTGCTTCCCCTAAAAAGTCCTGTTTTGATAGGAATCGAGCGTGCACGCGCTCTTCCCAACTTTTGCACGAAATTTCAAACTTTGTCCTAGAGATGCGAAATTTGGCATGAACATGCACCAACATATGCTGCATCATAATATAACATCAATTCCCGTTCCGTTCGCTATAAATTTTTCAGGAAAAATCAAAAACTAAATGTCACCCCTACTCCGTTTGATTTTTGATTTTTCCTGAAAAATTTATAGCGAACGGAACGGGAATTGATGTTAGATTATGATGCGGCATATCTTGGTGCATGTGCATGCCAAATTTCGCATCTCTAGGACAAAGTTTAAAATTTCACATGTCTACGTACAAAAGTAGGTGAGAGCGCGTGCACGCTCAAAACCCATCAAAACAGGACTTTTTAGGGGAAGCAGATCCGAGCCCAGCTTCATTACGTCAATTTTATAACCACGGAGTCTAAATCATTTTGAGATTAATCGTCACCATTTATATATTTACACTGTAAATAATCGGGTAACAAACATTACCGAAAAGCACAAGTATCTAAGTACATGAGTCTACCAAAGTGGTAATCATAAGTTGTACCGTGTGGTAATGACTTGGTAATACCCTTTTAGCATCATGGTAACGAATTTTTACTACCTGGTAAAATATTATTACCAAATTTATTACAGAGAAATCATTACCTGCGTGACTATTAAGAGTGTATGTACATATGTATGTATAGCGTCAATTTGGAAGTTTTGTGGCTCCATTTAAAATATTTCGAAAACCGTCAAAGTTAGCAATAAACTACTTTGGTTTCTGAAATCTTCACTAAATTTCCTGTAAATATTTCGCAATAATGAAGTATTTCCAGAATGCAGAGACACCACGGTTTTTGTCACGACTGGGAAAGGTCCCATTAATAATTTGACTTACTGTACATATTTTGGAAACTATGCATATCAAATTATTTAAATTTAATTATTTACCTGTTGATCTGATAGGTTGTCAGGCTTGGCAAACATTGGTCGTCGAACTTTACCGTTGGCGACACACTAATCCCAGAGATCGTATCAGCCCTGGAACTGGTCGCTGTGGGGGCAGGGATTTCAGAAGAGGAGAAAGCGGAGAGTGTCGGCGAGCAAGGGAAATTAATGCCTTTTGCATTCCTCATATTTTTGGAACAAGTTGCAAAAATTGATGAACTCAAGCTCGCATTCGAGAAGGTAGACGGAAAATGGAAAATACGCGAAGGAGGTAAATATGAACATTCAAGGAATTAACATATATCTGATAATTGTAGTATTTACTATACACTCTAAATAACTTGGGACAAATTGTCACTCTCAGAGACATACCTGTTCAAAATACTTTTTTCATTCAAAGTTCAGTCACCCCGATTTCTGACTGAAGATTTTCATTCACATTTAGTCATTTTCTTTGAAACTCAGTTCATTTCACTTCATCTGACTTCATTTCTTACTTCGCTCCATTTATTAAAAATTTAATTTATGAAAAATGAAAGAAGTGAGAAATCCTTTCATTCACAGTCACTGATCTGAAATGCGTGAATCTTTCATTCATTCTCATTCAAATCACAACATATTCATTTTCATTCAATTTCATTCACTTAAGAACTGCACTACATAGCTCAACTGGTGACGATATTTTCCCAAAGTTATTTACTTAAAGTGCAATAAACACAAGGCGGACTTAAGTTGCGCTCACATTTTCTTTCTACCCAGTTCCAGGCCAACTTTCTCCCCCCGAAGGGGCAGGACTTGTACCAAACTACATTCTTGAACCGACGACCAGCTCCGATTTTTCTACCCGATTTAAAGAAACTCCCGAAGAGTTGGAAAAACTGAAAAGTTACGCGACCCGGAGTGAAACCCGGTTACAGACAGTTTTAGCCGCGAAGGAGATTAGCTTATCCGAGCTGAACGCTATATTCCAACCCAATCCTGCTTCACCTTCTAAAGGTCAAAGTCAAGGTCGCGTCTACTCCGACATTGACATCACATATTCCCACCCACTCCCCGAATTCACGTTTGGAAACCGGAAATTTTGCAAAATCCGGAAATCATACAAAAGTTGAAACGCCTCAAAGATAATTTATCCGGGTCCGCGTACGACCCCGAACTTCGGGTAGAAGCCGTTGTAACGGTATCCACCAAAGCACCAACGACCTTCATGACCCCCACGCCGGAATCTTTGATTCACCCCGCGTTTAAACAAATGCCTGGAAAAATGGAGAAAATGATGCGAGACATGTTTGAAATTCCGGAAGTAGAATTTACTACGCCGCCACGACATGAAGATTTCATGGTGACGTGCACCTCCCCAGTTTCGGTAACTTTTGGGGAATCGGGAAACGTGAAAGTTGCCGGGTGCAGGACTAGCATTGATTTTTAAGGGGAGAGTAATAGACGGTTTCCACCAGCTATCGCCGGTAAAAAGCATCATATTTTATTTTCCGGTGTTTTAATATTGAGTTTTCATCAATCTACTGCAATGGTAGCTTTCAATCCGCTCCTGTGTTAACGGCTGCATGCGTGGAAAACCAAAACTCAATGATACTCATCGGACTCTATACAATCAGGGGGTGGTCCCAGACCCCCTAAAATATATATATTCTGAAACCTTCCGCCAAGACCTTTCAAACGATACCCCACTGATGGGGTTATGTGAGACTTGACCTATTGACCTTTTGAAAAATTTGTTGACCTTGGAAAAAAATTAAAAATTCTTAGCGAATCTGATAATACGAGTTATTCAGATAAGTTTTCACCAACTATGAGGAAAATCTATCCAAGATTGTTGAAATGCGAGCTATACAAGGAATGGTGATGGAGGAGCCAACTTTGTATCTTGACCTCATGTCAGTTTCAGGTCATGGAGTACGGGTAGGACCTAGCGCTCCGGTTTGACCCTAGAGCATGGTCTGAGGATTGTCCATGCGAAGTTTGACCGCCGTGGGCCTAGTGGTTGCTTGACAACGTAGGGAGAAAGTTAGCAAGATTTGTGGAAAACGTAGTGCTTTCGCCCATGCCATTACATGGATGGGGTCATGAAAATTTTAAGAACTGAGTAAATCGAATAGTTCTATCCTGGTGATAAGGTTTTTGAGCTAAAACACCGGAAAATAAAATATGATGCTTTTTACCGGCGATAGCTGGTGGAAACCGTCAATAATAATAATAATAATTCATTTATTGCATCATAGCCAACAGCCTTTGCACATATTGAATGGTTACATATTGAAAATCGTAAAGTGAAATAAAATTAAAATAAATAATTATTGGTCAGATCATAGGTCAAAATATTTGGCAACATTGTGCCAAAAAAAAATAATAATGCTAAGGGGAAAGTTACATAAATTACCGGTTATGTATGTACATATGTAAATAAGTAGGTCACAATACACATAGTAAATGATGGAATTTGGATTTAGAAATGTAGAATCGTGAAAAATGAGTACCTGCAAGGTAAAATTGATACCTGGGTTTATGTATGTATGTAGTTAAGATAATGGTATACTCTTAGAAGTGATGTTCCCGTTAGAAAAGTGTAACATTCACATTCCAAGATTGCAAAAATATCGCATTATTCCGGAGATGAAGTCTAAATCTTAGCATCCGGACACCAAGGTTGTTGTCACCACTGTGACATACCAACGATGTATTTACATACGTACATATCTCGCTTTTGCAATGTGCTGTGCGTGAATTCGTTAATAAAAGAACTTACATACATACATGATCTCAACTTACTACCAATCAATATGCATGTTTAGTGCACTCGTGTCACAAAAGTAAACATATTTATCCCGAATTTTACGTAAAATAAAGTGTATGCATTAACGCCAGTGTAAACTTTATTCTTTATCAAGTTTTTGTTACTTCTAATATAGTGTGTGTACATACATGTTTCACCTAATATAGAATTCGGAATGCATTGACTTTTCAAAAACGAAGCATTATTAAGTAGCTTCAGCTACTTTATGTGAAGACTTTGTCTGTCTGTCTGTCTGTCTGTCTGTCCGTCTGTCTGTCTGTCCGTCTGTCTGTCAGCAGGATAACGGGAGAACGGATAAAGATAATCGAAATCGGTTTTCGCCATCATACATAATACCCCAGGGGGAGGATCCTATCAACTTTTGGGTGCAACCGGACCACACCCCCGGTCGCCAGGGGGTGTGGTCGGGGCAAAATGAGATTTTTAGTGCAATTGAATCTATGGATGAAATGGAGTGAAATTTTGAGTTCCCCCGTTGTGCCACACCCCCCGGGCGCCAGGGGGTGAGGTCGGGGCAAAATGAGATTTTTGAAAAAATTGAATGCATAGATGAAATACAGTAGAATAAAGTGCTCCCGAGTTGTGCCACACCCCCTCGTCACTAGGGGGTGTGGTCGGGGCAAAATGAGATTTTTGAAAAAATTGAATGTATAGATGAAATACAGTAAAATCAAGTGTTCCCGCGATGTCGTGGGAGTGCTTGGAGTGAAGTAGTCTGAAGCTACTTCCGTATGCGCGTTTGCGACGGTTTATTTTTTAGAGTGTATACATACCTTTAAAGGGATAATTCCATAAATCTTATTTTATATATAGGCGTATATATATAAGCGTATATACCGTAAAGACTCTATTTATAGCCGGGTCTAAAGACGACACAAATCCGACTACAATTTTAAACCGGGTATAATTAGAGACCCGGGTAAATTATTTTTCGGTTATGCATAACTTGAAGCATCAAAAAACGGACATTAAAGGAATGTCGTAATTAGGGACAAGCTTATTAAATTTTTCAAAGTTGGGCTCAAGACCCGGCTATAAATAGAGTCTTTACGGTATGTATATATATATATAAATACACTTGGCCCAAACAACCTTTTTTAGAAGACCACTCATTGTCACTCTTTGTTGTTAGAACCTTATTTTCATCTTGGCCTTTATAAGACTTTGTTTCTCCCTGACTCAGTCCACGTCAATACCACAGAACTATACTATTCTATCTAGAAGAAGTACTGGACGAGCGATAGTAGCCACACTATGAGCGCCGTCTATGCACATTCACCAACTAATAATACACTGGTAGGTGTTGCACCCGAGCGCCACCACTTCTCACCTAGCAACTAAATAATACACAGATGGGTATGTGCGCCACTGTCGCTCCAGTTGACACACAACTTTGTATACTCAAATCAGCAGGGAAACATACCCATTGGTCAATACCTTCGATCGAGCGAGAGTCATTGGAGCGGAGATTTTGTCTCTCCACTCCGAGCGACACTACTGACGGTGGTGCTTACCAGCAGTGAGCGTAGCACACGATAATTTTTAAATGTCGACACGGTCATGGGCACATTTTTTAAGTTGCGTTTTTGAAGTCAACGTTTTAAATAAGCTTGATTGATATGACACTTGAATTTCTTCACTAAACGTTTTGTTTACGCCCCTTGTTTTCAATCATTTTTGGGAATATTCCCATCCATAAGCTTACATGTGTTAATGTGTCGGAGAAAAATCAATATAACTTTTTGCACCCTATCGTCTGCAATCTAATTTTTTATGGTAGTTAAGAAATCTAAGATGACATTAGAATTTATGAAATTTGGGTTGCAGACGACAGGGTGCAAAAAGTTATAGCGTTTTGAAGTTGTCATTATAAGATAGCGAAAATTCAAATTTTTCAAATTTTTCAAATTTTTCAAATTTTTCAAATTTTTCAAATTTTTCAAATTTTCTAATTTCATTTGTGGTGCCTACAATAACTTTTAAGTTTACAAAAAACTTGCCAAAATTACGTGACACCTACGGTTTCAAATTGAAGAAGTTTTTAAATTTTTCTAAAAATTTAAATTCTCCGGCAGTTTCGAATATAGAATTTTTATTTTTTCATTAATAACTTTATTTAAGTATTACGCGTTCATGGTAAAATTAGTCCTAGAATCGGAGTCGTGGCCCGCAATGCATAATTAACATTGACGTGGACTGAGTCCCCTTTATTCACAGGGTTCCATCAAAATCCTGGGTTTATTTTCATGCAATAAACTATCGGGTAAAGCTTTAGAGAATAATCAATATCTTTAAAAAAAATAATAATTCAATTCGTCAAACTTGTATCTGTGCAATTGTCCAAAACTTCCGTGTAAGATGTTGGAAAAACCGATAAACGCACGTGTTCTCATCCACCGCAGAAATCGGTTTATATAAATTTTGTGGTACATGTTTTGGAGCATCTACATGTATATTGCCTTGTGCACGCTAAATAAATTTGATCAAAATTTACTCAAGGTTGAGTAAAATTTGCGATGACACAACCGGTTGTGTATAATTTACCAAATGAAGGTTAAAATTTATCCAACGCTGTAGAAATTTTACACAACCTTGAGTAAATTTTATCTTTGTTAAGTAAATTTTGCACAATCATTTGTGTCATCGCAAATTTTACTCAACTTTATTTAGAGTGTGTATATTCATTCTGTAATAACATTGTTTAGAGGGTCTAAATAAACGAAACAAACTTGAGTACAAAAATCATGTCTCATATGACAAGTTTTGCACCCCAATTTTATTCACTTAATCAATTTTTTGAAATCATACATGGGTATATTGAACTACATTTTTAAAATTTTAACCATTTGTCATTTTCATGCAATTTCTGAATTTTTTTAATGCATAAAACGAAACCCTGAATATACTGGCTGACTTGAAGGCTGCACTGAAAAACCTGAGCCTTTATACTATTATATATCTCTCCCTCAATATATGCATACATATTATTTTCGTATCATCAACAAGATCACAGATGTCCAACGCATAATTCCGACAAGCTTGGAATATTAAAACAAATAGCATTAATTTTGCAACTAAACATAAAATATACAGTGGAAATCATCAAGAATTTCTGTAACATAATGTTACCTTCGTGGTCAGTTATTGCAAGCATTGTGACAATTATAAATTTCTTAATATCATCCGCCATTGGCGTCAGCGCTGGTACGTACATATGCCCAAAAAGTATCTTTTACATATGTATAATACTATTTTAAAATAAGGTGACCCATAAATTTAAGTATTAAATGCATTCCGAATTAAGTAAACTATGTATACGAAATCCATACTAAACTTTACTCTAAAGAACTTTACTTTAAAGAAAACGAATAATTTTGCTCCGAAAAATTCTAACAAAAAAGTTTTCTTTATTCTCTCCCTAGAATTATTTATATCGTTGGGGTAAAATGCGACAAGCAATTCCGAACCGTACTATATTATCTACTAATTGCAGGAAAGGCTTTGGAATATTTCTTATTGTTACTAACTAATTGTCCTTCGAATTTGGAGGTTCCCCTCACCCGAATAATATTTCTCGGTAGTGTCTATAAAATTGGGAGCTTTGTGTGACATATTTTACCTTAGACGGCTTGTTTAAAATGATCAGGTCTTTTTTTTATCCTACAAATGATTTATGTAATAGGAAAACCCGTTCAGGTATTATTCAATTAACTTAAGATAAATAATTTCCAATTTCAGAATCTCTTTGCAATCGGAGTGAGGTTTTGGACGCCATTAAAAATTATTTGGAAAGGGACGACTTCTCAGAAATGATTACGAAGCCACTCGTTCGCGCAAACCCGATCACATTTTGGAACAATGTGATCCAGATTGAAGACATTTGCAACTCGCGTGAAGCCATATTGTTGCAAAAAATATTGTTACGATTTTCCCAACGTAGTGAAGAAAGTGCTTATTGACACGGTCCAGATAAATTTATGGACTGGGCTTGAGATATGTAATTAAATATATAATTATCGCTTAAGGTGGAATTGGAGGGGGGTTTTGAGTTAGAATGGTTGTGTCACAAATTTCTGTTTTTACATACTCTCCATTCGCATACGTTAGAACTTTTACAGAAATTGGGATTTCTGAGAGACTACGGCCCTGTAAGTCTCAAATTCCCTTAAGTTATGCTGACGGGGTACTTTGAGACTGGCAGTGCCTAGTTTCTGAGAAATCTCAATTGCTGTAAAACTTCTAACGTGTGCGAATGGAGAGTAGGTATGTTCAAATCAGAGCTACACGCCGCTGAAAAATCGGCGGCGGGTGCGGCGTGAGCAGTGAAAACTGTAGGCGGCGGCGGCGTCGCACCGTTTCGCCCCTCGCCGGCGCTGCGCTGATATTGCAAACTATGCTTTTCAGTCAGTGATCATAACTGACCAAATAATTAAACTCTTTATGACATGGAACAATAAATTGTTACTCATGTATGTATTAAGCTTACAAATGTTAATTGGTTCAGCGAAATAAATAGGCCTTGAAAAACTTATCATTTGATTCCTACTCATCTCCACAGGGAGATGAATAGGAATCCCAAAATCGCAATTTCAATATATGGAAGAAGAGACACTTGAGACAACAATTCAAACTCAAGACCTGCATCTAATAGTACGTTAAGATAGAAATGCAGCATGAAACTGATTATAATATTACCTTTCCTGTTATTGTCGGCAGATCATTGGCCGTATCTCTCAGATTGGGTTTCCTTTGGGTCACGGGATCTGGTCTTCTTTGGTCTTACATCTGGGAAACGAGCTTTGCACTTCTGCCAACTGTGAGTAGTAACTAGATATCATTATACTCCCTTTTTGATATATCCCTTTTTGATTAATTTGTGCCAATTATTAATAAGGGTTAACCCAATCCAACCAGAGGACGATTTTGAGTACGGGTATCTTAATTCTGTTCTGGAAAGCTTGCTGAAACCTAAAAATGTGGAAAAATTTGATGAAAGAGTAAATTTCAGTCTTGCGGTGAGACAACGTTTCCAGAAAGGTAATATATCCATAGATACACAAATCTATTTAAGTGTTATTTACGTCAAAATCTGTCTCACACGTGCGCAAACTGTATGCTTTGGATATCTTTCACCCTACACATTTAAACATAATTTCATCTTTTTGAATATTTAATATTTAAATGTTGTCTAAATCCTAAGTTAAAAATCATACGATTCGACAACAAGCTATAAAACTAATTTTAGAATTTTGAATCAAATACAGTATGTAACATATATATTGCTATCATGACAAAATTTGTATAGCGACATGATGCCGTAATTTTAAAATTTTTAAACTCCATGCACAAATGTCAAAAGTATCTTCCGACAATTTCCTCGTCGCCGATTTTAACATCACACACAGGTCAAAGGTCAGGATTATTTTTCTGGACAAATTTGAGACTCTTTGAAAAAACTTTGCGGACAATTTTCTATGAACTTTGCAATATTTGTTATTTTAGGGACCCAAAGCATAAATAAGCATGTTCTTATTTTTTCTTTATCTCTTCCACAGATGCAGTAAAGGAAAAGGCCGACAACGAATAGAAATATATGCTGGGCAATGTGACCGAGAGTCTTCGCAATTTAACCGCAGATGTTCACAACCTGACCCTGCAGGTACAAAATTTAACCGACACATTGGGAGCTGTAGTTACCCGGATCAATTACCACCACAAGGACCACCCATCTGGCCAATTATCACCGGTATCTGGCGTGAGTGATGAAGTATCAGGCAAGCAAATCACTCCATATTACCAAGAGACAAATTAAATGTTGTGTAATTCTTATATTTTGGTTAACGTGCAACAGCATGAGGGTTTTCAGTTTGAATTGTTATGTCTCAACTTTCCCTTCTCCTATATATTCTAATAGCGATTTTGAAACTTCTTCATCGCCTTTCGTTTTTTACAATATGAAGATTTTAATGCACCTAAAAATCGATAATTATTAGGTTTACAAAGTTAGGAGGCAAGAATTATGATTTTTTTCTTCAATGAGAAAATATTTAATTTTTACTGATTATTTTTCATCTATTTTATATTTATTTTCTCATAGAAGAAAAAAAATCACGATTCTATCCTAAAATTATCGATTTTTAGTTGCAGTAAAATCTTCATATTGTAAATAACGTACGGCGATGAAGAAGTTTCAAAATTGCCATTCGAGTATATGGGAGAAGGGAAAGTTGAGACACAACAATTCGAACTGAAAACCCGCATGCTATTCCACCCTAAAGCCCTAGACTTTGCCAACTGCACCTCAACCTGCAGCGAGCTCGATCTCGGTACATATCAACACGATAGAATAATCGATTGCTGCCGGCTGTCTTACAAATTCCAGGAGGGACGCTGTGAAAACGGTATCCCTCAATGTTCAAAGCCGAAGGATGGTAACCTCAAATATGAAAAAACATTTTAGAACAGTAGGTATTAAATAATACAACTAAATATTTTCGTAGGTGCCTCACACAGCCCCATTTCCGATTTCGACAAGCATTGTAAAGGACAGGCCCGGTATCACAAAAGTTCCAATATCCGGGATTGCTGTAGCAAACACGACTTCCCCTCAGGACTGTGCGACGAAAACCAGCACACAGTTTGCTGGCATTACGCGTATGGATTTTAGATACAATTTTTAATCAGTTTATATATAATACATTTTGTAAAAAAAAATTGCATAATTTACGGGCAATTTCATAATAAATATTTGCATATGATAACAAAAATTTCGGCAGGGCGTTTAGCATAAAATCGTGCCGGATAACTGTAGATATGTACATACATAAGTTTAAAATTAGTTTTCCACATATAGAGAGACGGACGGACGGATAATAAGACAGGTACATATACTTTGCATCGGAGCGTAATTATTTTTTCCAGATTTTCGCGTATGTATAAAAAGCACCTTTTTGAAGCTCGGACGGAACGAGCAGGGAAACAAAATCAAACAATAAATAGTGTTTTGACTTAATAAATTTATTGTATGTATTTTTTGTTCTTAAATTAAAACTAATCTTAAATTAGAGTAAGAATTATATTATTCAACATCTAGAGCCGTCACTAATTTTGGACTTTGGAATCAAGTATTTACTCAAAAGCTTTCACATAAATATGTATATATGTAAATACATGCTAATATTTATATATAGAGTGAGGAATTGATTACTACATAGTTTGCGTTGCGTTGAATTGCAAAATATTTACTTAAATAGTTATACATATATCTAGTCAAACTTTTTGCTATCGTTCAGACATCGAACAAGCCGTCGTACTAAATAATGAGCAACGATATCCAACTTGTAGATTCAAACAACAAAATAAATGACAACAAATTATTGATTAGTTTTATAAAAGCATATTTAGCATAACCTCTTGCTTATAAGCGAGATGTCATTTGTGCAATACATACATACATATGTGGAAACTTGATAATTGATTTTTAATTACTACGGGATTTGTCAAGGTAATTAAGTAATTAAATATTTGAAGAACTGAGAGTACATAATTAAAATTGGAAGTATTTAATTACTTGGCCAGGTAGTAGGAATTGTGTACTCAATTACTACGATTAATTACTTAATTGAGCATACTTGGGATAAAATTTGACAAGTCTCCCTCACTCGGATAACTTACATTAAACAGCTTTTCTTGTGAACAAATACATTATTCCCATTCAGTTTTTGCAATTGATGCAAAGTCCAATTTTTAATACAATTTTTTTTCTGCGGTTTATTTTATAGCACCCTCAACGATCATGTTAATTTCACTAATCAACATAATATACGCTTAGTTCTTCCTATCCAATAATGAAATATCCAAAGGGTTTAATTTTTTACCCAACCAAGGTAGTAAAACAATATCCAACAAAATAAGGTATTTTATTACAGCATACATACATACAGATATATGTGCGCTAATTTATAACAACTAAACTAAAACAATGGAAGTTTCCAAGAGCTCGCCAAAAATCGAATTCTATTCGAATTTTGAAAATTCTTATAGCATTGCAATCTAAGATATTAGTGTTTTATATTCTAGCATAGTTTTGGGATTGGGGTTATTCAAAAGATCGTTGTACTGAGGATGATAACTTAAAATGGAATTCATTATATAATAAACCCGAAAAAATAAAAACTTTATTATTTCGCATTTAAAGATCTAATGACATAGTTCGTTGGGTTTAATAATTAAACTGGTTGGACGTTTTATGATATGGACGAATAATTAATTTTGTTTGGGATAATATGCAATTTCGTTGGACCATTAAGTTGACACCCTCATTTAATACTAGCTGTGTTAAATACAGCCTGTAATTGTAATTGTATTTGTAATAGCTTCTATTATAGGCCGTCTAAATTGGAAAAATACTTAAGCAATCTCGCTTCTTTAGAACAGTTAGATAAAATCTACATATGCAAAATAAAAATGCATTGAGAAGTTTTAATTTCTAATTTATTGGCACAATCTAGCGTATAGATAAATTTACCGAGCAAATTTTAATGCATGTGGATCACAAGGATGGAGTTTAACTTGCACACGTTTCTAACCGTTCGGCAATACAGTTTTGGGAGAAAAAGGTTATAAGGATATTGTATGTATTTTATTTTACATATGTCTGAGAATTAATAAGTAATTAGGAATTAAAATCAATTATGTACATTTTTGGTAAGTAATTGTCACTGGTAATTAAATTCAATTACTGGACAAATAAATATTTATAACTGAAGCTATTAATTCAAATTTACGCCTACGGAGTAATTAAGAATTAATTACTCTTATCGGTAATTAAACAGCACGGGCTGAGTTTCTGTGGTAGATAAATTCTATTGCAATTTGAGTTTAATTGGCAGGCAAAAAAACTATATGAGGGAAAAGTCAACCATGTATTGCAATTTGAAGCCAATTTCGCAGCAAAATCAAGCCATTAAGACACGTTTTTAATTGGTTGCCAGTTGCCGTATGAACTTGACATAGAGTAAAGCTTAAACTGGATTTAGTAAACTTTAGTTAATGTAGCATTCAGAGTGCATTTACTTTTCACAAGGGTAACATTACTTTTAAGATTGTGTATCTATTTATGTACGTACTTATTTATTTAGTTTTCGTAAGATATATTATTGTTAAGAGAGGAAGAGAGAGAGACACTTTACATAACACTAATTACATATTTACATATGAAATTGTGTGTACAATTTTGACGCATCGTTTGGAGTCTGAACTTTAGATTGAGGTTCTGAACAGCCTACGGTTCGTGCTAATTTAGAACTACTAATAAATATTCAACCACCATATCAAATTTTATATAAATGTGCAAATAGGTCACATAACACAACATACATAAATTAGTTCCATGGATAGATATACATATTACATAACTTTTTGCCTATGAATATGCATATACATATGCAGTACATCGACATATATGTATGTGCATAATACATAAATGCCGATAAATTCCAAGACATTACCTACAGGTGAAGTTTATTAGTCAGATATTGTATCAGATTATGTATTTTTATGGCATTTCTCTGCCAGCTCCACATGAATTAAATTGTGCATTTGGGATTAAATTCTAAATAAGTAAAGGTGTTATCTAGCTTATGTATACATATAGGCTTAAACCTGGTGAAACATTCATGCCGGTGTGCACAGGACTCTTGCTCAAGCCAGAATTTGCATAAGCACTGTTACATCCTACTGGAAATAGGCAAATTGTGCTTTAAACTTATTTCAGTGAGGAATATTTACCTACTGACGTAATTCACTAGAGTATACACATGTACAGATATGTTAGCTGTCCGTCATATACATACATAAGTGCTAAATAAACGTATTGATTTTGAGACTAAAACCATGAACTCGAGTACAGTTCCAAACTAGATAAGCACGTGTGGGCATGGTCAATTTCGTCATGCTTTTTGAAGCTGGACTAGAAGTCATGATTTTGAACCTGGAACTACTAGCTTTGTTTGGATTCAAACCATTTTTCTACGATCGAGAAAAAAATAAATTTATACGTTGCGATCATGACAATCGAGTTAAAATTATTCTTATATCAGGCACAGTTGCTGCTCTTGTGATTAACGGGATTCATACGACAACATTTTCCCAAGGTCTTACTTCAACGAAGAAAGCATTTATTGGCACCTTTGTGCTAGGTTATTGGACAGCATGTACGGTCGCGATGCCGGTGTTGACTGTCTGTCAGAGATACGTGGACTTGTTAAATATGATGAGATTCTTTGAGTCGGGATACTTTAAGCAGCTCGGTAAGTCAACAGACCTTGATACATCCATTTTGGCAGTTGAAAAACTGTCAAATGTCACTCACAAACTCTCTTTATACGAAAATACGTACTCAAGTATATGTAAATATGCGAGGAAGATGAGAAGGAAACTCATTGAATTTTGAAAAGCCAATTGAACCAAGAATGATAAATACGCATCAGCCAAGTGTGAGAATTAATCATCAGCCATTCACAGGGCTTTGTGGGGAAAGTGGTAACCCGGTAGTGATCAGAACGAAAGGTTGCCGGTTCGATTCCGGCCAGCTCGCAACTTTTTTCTCATTCTTGGTTCAATTGGCTTTTCAAAATTCAATGAGTTTCCTTCTCATCTTCCTCACTATATGTAAATATTCATCTACTTGTGGATATCTAGGTAAGCAAAGATGGCACAAATTTTGCAAAATTTGTTAGATACACGGAATAAAAAAAACAACAGGATACATTTTCTGACCTGACTACCGGTCCTCGTGTAGGTGGTAGTGCGCGCCAGTGCGCGCTTATTTAGTGGCACCGAGCTGGTGGTAAATAGATTATTTCAATGCTGGACCTAGCGGTGGCCGATAATCACCATACCGTAGAGTCATGCATATGCATATATGTACAGGTTGGTTAAAATGTCACGCTACAATGGAAAATTTTTAAATGGGAAAAGTCCCTAAATCTCTATTAGTTACAAGATTTGGGCTTGAGTTTTTAATAAATTATTATCAAAACTGATGACAAAATTCTTAAAATGTTACATTTTAGAGACTAAATTTCGGTAACTAATGGAAATGTATGGATTCTTCCCATCGAAAAATTTTCCATTGAAGCGTGCCATTTTAACCACCCTGTATATATGTATAGTTACCCGTCGGTAATAAAATTTCCTTGGTGTAATGGTCACTATTACTACTGAACGTAAGGGTAAGGGTGAATTCATCGCAAAAGTATGACACTGACTGGCATTGTAGTAAATTGACAATCGTTTAAAGAGTTGTTAGTTATTTTCTTAAATTTGCCCACAGGATGCTCTTCCAAACGCGTCAGGTGGTGGAAATTCCGAGTACAGCTGTGCAACTTGGCGGCTACTATAGTATCATTCTTCGCACCTGTTGCAGGATTTGGAATTATGAGTTATGAAGCAAAAATTCCCACATTTCTTGGATCAATCTCGGTAAATATGGAGTCAAGTTGGGCACACTTGATGGTTTTCGTGGTTTTCTTTGTGTTGCAAGCTTTCATGTGGTGCGTCGTTCCAGTCTCCTTCTGTATCATGGTTGGGTCCATGTGTTGCGGAACATGCGTATCCATGGCAGGATATCTGTCTTGCTTAAATAAGTGGGGTTTGCTAATAAATCAATATATTACCGCCCTCTGTTTATTTGGCTACAATTTAACTGTGCTCATGCCATTATGCCCATTAAAAATATATATTTGTATCACCTTACAGCTCTAACAAATTTTCGAACAATCTGGCTAACTCATTGACTCTGTACAAACAACTATCCGTCCTCGTTGGACACATGAACCTTTGCTTCCGCGGGCTGGTTCTCCCCACCATTTTAATGTACAGCATCTCCGTAAATATCTTAGGAACGTATCTCTGCGTGAAATTAAATGGTCAATTGTTTGCCAACGTGGGAAATGTTTTGTTTCCCTTGCTGGCGTTTGAAACATTTCTTCTCATCATGGGTCTTGGAACAACAGCGGGATTCACTAACAAGACATCCATCCGTATGGTAAGGAAAATGAGGGTAGCTCTGCTAAAGAAAAATCTGGGAAATCAGGGCTACATTAGGCGGATGATTAATGCTTGTAGTCCCATGAGGATCCGGTTTGGGAGTAATTTTATCGGAATGTCGACCCCGCTTGTAATGACTTGCTTTTGCTTGAAGTCTTTGGTGCGGTTGCTCCTTTTGTTTTAATCGGATTTCGTCAAAATCAGGTTAAATTTTCAGTAAAGTAAGGTTTTTGTTTTTCTATTTCCCACTAATTTTTTATTTGGTTGCAGTCAACATTATGAATATATTGCGAAAAGAGGAAAAACAGTATATGCAAATAAAGTAGCCGAAATTTACAATACATAAAAGTTAACTGGTATTGGATTTGTTGTTTCGTATGTATCAAGAGTAAAAAATATTTATGTATGTGTTCAAAATATCATAATCTCCTTTGATACATGCAAATATCAATGTGCACAACTATGCGAGTACATATATATATATATACATATGTATTCGCTTTATTTATTTGGATATTTACATATTATTTACGTATTTGGTACAACTTATAGCTGTCCAAAGAGTGCAAATATATTAAAGGCTAAATTATGCTGGGACAAATGTTAAGTACGTAATTCATATTTGTTTAAAATTTATACATACGTACCACGAAAACTAAAATGAAGACTTATCACTTTATTATCTGCAATTGTATCCGTAGTTTAATACTAAATAAAACAATATTTTCATGCGAATTCATGTAAATAAATCTACACAAAATCGTTAAATATATGTAAAATCGATGAAAACATGAATATATTTGAAAATGTATTAAATTTATTAAAGTGACCTACACTCAAAAAAATATTATATTATTCTCTCAAAGCATCCAATTACATAAACTCTAAATTATGATAATGTCGTGAATTGCCCAGTAAATAAAAGTATTATTTGTACATTGATGAGCAGGTTCTTCAAATCCTCTTAGCTCTACGGTTTCTCTTAAAGGGGCGTTATTATTATTATTTTTATTTTAACAAGCATTTGAACAACCTACTCGTCACTGTCCAAATAATACTTTTATTAAAAGTCTGGGACATCTTTCTAAGTGGAAACGAATCAAACGAATGTGAGTTTATTCAAATTCCCAGCACTCGGAAGCGTATGAATCTGAAGAGAGCTTTCTCCCCCGACTTCGTTAGCGATATGTTCCAATTTTTGTTTCTCCAGGGTACAAGTGCGAGGTCCCTGAAAATAGAAAAAAATCATTCATCTATCCATTCATAATATGAACAATATATGAATGTCATATATTGTTTGCCTGGTCTTTTTCGACTTACATTTAATTAGAATCTAATGTCCACCCATGTTTTCGGTGGGAGAGGAATTTCCCCCAGCTCAACGACCATTGGGTCAGTGTACCACGCGACCACGTCACGTCGCTGGAGTGGCAGATACGTGGCCAGCGCCGTCTTTAGACCCTGATCGGTCTGCACAATTTCGATGTTAATTTCGTAATTTTCCTGCTCATATGGCTTCAACTCGGGGCCGAAGAAAGAGACAGATTGTAGGGCTAGCTTGGCAGGCCCTTCCTACATCATTCTGCATAGAAAGGCATGAATCCTAAGTTTGAATGGATGAATATTGTTTGAATGAAGTTTGAATGATTAATAATTAATTTTCTAAGGTGATGTGTTAAAGGTCTTTACCTGAAGGGATAAAAAACATCAGAATAATCACGAGTTAGCGATTTCTCTCCACAAGACACGGTATAAATCTTTTGGATGGATTTCCGGCTATGATTTTTTGCAACTTTTGTCAGTTCCATTTCTTAAAAGGAAAGTTTGATCCGGACAAAAATTTAGACTGGAGTGGATTTTGATACGATAACTACGTGGCGTTAAGTTATACCTGGATTAATGTATTTACATACTAAGGTTTACTTAAAATTCAGAGTGAATTAATTGACTTCTCTAAAGGGTAATATTAGTTTTAAGGATGTACTTTTTGTGGGATTGGTTTTAAATTACAAAGATTACAAATTAGCATCTATCACGGACGTCAAGCAAATTGGTCCGTTCAGTATAAAATGTAATGTCCAACTGTGAAAATGACGATGAATTTAATTATGTGACATTGTATGTTAATATGCCCTTCGGCTTGTGATCGAGTTTCTTAGTAATTTACAATGGAGGTCTCCCAACGTATGCTCACAGGTTTTGACCAAACTGGTGTCAATCAATCACAAATTTAATTAGTATCAAATTTTCAAATGGAACTATCTGCCAATGTGCAGGTTTGGCAGAGATATTTGCATAATAAAGGCTAATTTGCGCATAAAGATCGAAAAGTTTTACACTTTTCAAATTTACTGGCGTTGTGGCTAATTTTTATTAAATTGCGCATTTACAGATTGTTCCATTTGCAAATTTCATACAATTCACGCAAGTTTGGTCTAAATCTGTGAGCATACGTTGGGAGACCTCCATTGTCAATTTTCTTAGTAAACCGTCCGTCCTACTCCGTAAGTGAGTTGCAAATAAAGATCATCATTTTATTGGGAATTTGAAATCATATAAATTTACCACGTAGCATTTATACGGTAGCAAATATGTAAATATGTACGTGCCATGCATACCTATTTATGTACAATTGACTTGTCTTTCATTAAACAATGGAACTGGTACTCTTTCAGCAAGAAAAAGCGTAGTACATAGGAGACGCATTACCAGTGATTTTTATAGAGGGTTGATCGATGCGATCCGACATTATCCGATCCGTCGGTTCGGATTAATTTGTCCAACCATTTATTATAGCATGGACGGATCGGATGTTATCCGATGAGATTTGGACGTAATCGGATCGGATTGGGTGACCCACCCTAATAAGATTATCTATATTTATGTAGATTAGATCGTGTATGTACAGATATGCACATATGTATGTACATCGTGGCCGAAAAAGTGAGGTGGATCGAGACCTCCAATGATATACGAAGGTAAAAGGAATCTGGAAACGTGAAAGTTGGCGGGTGCAGGATTAGCATTGATTTCTAACCGGAGCCTTACATAAATTACTGGTTATGTGAATAGGTCACAGCACTGCATAGTGGAAATATTAACCATGAATAAACCAAATATTAACCATTAATTCCGTGGCTGGAGTTACATAATGTAAATGCATATTATGTAGTTTGTTAGGAACACTAAAAAGTTATGTTGTCTCTAGAAAAGTAAAGGCATTACGAATTCTGTAGTACATATGAAGACTATGTAAATTTACCGAATCCAGAGTAAACTTTACTCTTCATCAGGTCAGCATTACTCTGGATTTAGTGCATTTTACTTATTATATAATTAAGAGTTCATTGACCTTTCTAGAGGGTAATATTATTTTTAAGATTCTATAAAAACATGCTTATTTATTACTCCAAAGCTTTCATATATTTTTCAGATGGAGAAATACATAGATTGCGAGTTTTCGTTGAATTTTATTGAGTAGTATTTGGTTAGTCAAAAGCTTTGGCTCGTCTCCTAAATATTTACACCAAACTAACAATTCAAAATCTTCAAGCCAGCACTAAATATTCGTCTATGGTGTCAAACTTGAAAATCTAAACAGCAAAATAAGTCACATATGTAACAAAGTATAAATTATTTTATGGAGAGACGTATTTCATAACTTCGTACTTATACATAAGCACGAAGTTATCAAATATGTAAATAAATAAATATGTACATGGTGAACATAAGATCTCTGAACGCCATAAATATCTTACTGCCATATACGTACCTCCTTTTCATTATCTTAGGGCTTTAGAGTGATTTTTTCACAAGGGAAGAATCGAAGTTCTGGCACGTTATAAAAAAAATCAGTACAGATAACATAATAACAACAAAATTTTAGCAACTCCTACACGCGGAGGGAAGGAGTTTTCATTGCTGCTCAGAAGTTTTGTGCACACCATGTACGTGTGCATAATCAACCCCAATAAATTCCGTATGGATCTATCGGATTTATTTTCTGACCATTCGTACATATCAGCTTCACACGAACTAAATCAAGTTGTGCCTTTCGGATTGGATAACTTGTATGTAGCTTATGCATCAAGGCCTTAACCTGATAAAATATTCATATGAATGTACACAGGGTTCTTGCTCAATTCAGAATTTGCATGGATTCATAACTGCTATTACATAACACAACTGGAAATAGGCAGATTGTCCTTTAAAATTATTTCCAATCTCAACGAGAAATATTTACTCTATAGTTCACATAAGCTCTCTATCATATAAGTGCTAAATAAACGTATTGATTTTGAGACTCAAATACATGAACTCGATACAGTCCCAAACTAGGTAAGCACGTGTGGGCATGGTTGTTACTTTACAGAAATGCTTTTTGAAGCCGGGCTTGAAGTCATGATTTTGAACCTGGAACTATTAGCTTTATTTGGATTCAAGGCATTTTTCTACGACAGGAAAAGAAAGAGATTTATCCGCCTGGATCGGGACCACAAGCTGAAAATTATCCTTACCTCAGGCACAGTTGCTACTCTTGTGATTAACGGGATTCATACGATGGCATTCTCCAAGGGTCTTACTTCCACCAAGAAAGCATTCATAGGTACATTTGTGCTAGGCTTTTGGACCGCATATTTGGTCACGATGCCAGTACTGATTGGCTGTCAGAGATATGTGGACTTGTTAAATATGATGAGATTCTTTGAGTCGGGATACTTCAAGCAGATAGGTAAGTTCAGATATATTTTAGCAGTGGGAAATGTGTTCAATTTCGGTCGCGAAATTACATTATATGCAAATTTATTGTTACGCTCTGCGAAATCCGCTGATCGACATGACTACCGGCTTTGATGATCGTGGTTTTTGCAGTGTTGTTAATACGCAGTTTCCGCGTGGTGATTAAGAAGCACACAGCTGGTGGTAGGTTGTTGCAATTCGGTGACCAACGTGTTATCTAGCGGTGATGTATGACAACGGTCCGCTGTAGTCGTATAGATATATATGTATAGTCACAGCTCGGTTTAGTATTTCCTAGAATGTGATTACCATATGTTATTACTGAGAATAAGTAAGTTCATCAAAGAGGGACATTGAACTGCATATTAAATAGCCGTAAGAGCATGAAAGAAAATGTACCTAGTTTTTTTTAATTTTCGCGTAGGATGCCCCTCCAAAGGCGTAAGGTGGTGGACAGGCCGAGTACAGCTGTGCAACTTGGCAGCTACCGTGGTATCATTCGTCGCCCCTGTTGCAGGATTTACAATTATGGGTTATGAGGCAAAAATTCCCACATTTCTTGGATCAACCTCGATTAATATAGAGTCAAGTTTGACACACTGGATCGTTTTTGCGGTCTCTTTTGTGTTGCAAAGCTACATATGGTGCATCGTTCCAGTCTCTTTCTGTATCATGGTCGGGTCCATATGTTGTGTAACATCGGTGTCGATGGCGGGATATCTGTCTTGCTTGAAAAAGTAGGTTTTCTAATAGATCAATATATAATGCCCTCTTCACATTTGATTACAATTTAATTGTCTCTACTATCTGTTCTTTAAAAATATGTGCTTCTCTCACCTCTTAGGTCTACAAAATTGCTGAACAATCTGCCCATTTCAGTTACTCTGTATAAACAACTCTGCGTTCTCGTAGGCCAGATGAACCTCTGCTTTCGCCAGATGGTTCTTCCCGCTATTCTAATATATAGCATCTCGGTAAATATCTTGGGAACGTATCTCTGCGTGAAATTAAATGGCCAACTGTTTGAAAACGTGGGTAACGTGTTGTTTCCTTTGCTCGCGTTTGAGACGTTTCTTCTCATCATGGGTTTCGGAACGACGGCGGGCTTCACAAACAAGACTTCGATCCGTATAGTGGGGAAAATGAAGATGGCTCTGCTAAAGAAAAATCTCGAGAATCAGAGCTACATTAGGCGGATGATTAATGCTTGTGGTCCGATGAGGATCCGGTTCGGGAGTAATTTTATCGAAATGTCGACCCCACTTGTGATGACGTGCTTTTGCGTGAAGTCCCTGGTGCGGTTGCTCCTTGTGTTTTAGTTATTAGCTCGCCCTGCGTAGCACGGGAGCTATTGAATTCCTCTTGTCCGTCCGTCTGTCCGTCTGGTTGTTAACGAATTTTTTGCATCAATTGATGCTAATTAAACAGCCCCTTGACCATTATTGGATACGTTAGGCGCACCATTGGTACTAAACAAACCGAATTAAATTTTTTAACAAGTTAATAGGACCATTGATATCTAACAATCGGGAACACAAAATGATGCGAAATAATTGGGGGAAGGGATGCAAAACGCACCAATAGTGCAGAATATCCGGGAGAAATGATCATACAATTTTGACATAAATTTTTCAAAATTATCGTTGCTCGTTGGTAGGTAATTCTGCACCAGTGATACACAATTTTTGGACTCGTCTCGATGCATAATAATTATTGATCTATTTTGTTTAATTTTTCTGCACCATTGGTGCAACATTGCATAAAAATTATTGATCCACTTTGTTGGATTTTTGTGCACCATTGGTGCATAATTGCAAAAAATTATGTATCTATTTTGTTGCATTTTTCTGCACCATTGGGGCAAGTTATAACCAAATCATTATCACAGGGTGAGCTACTTCTAACGTTAGAGAGCGTCCATAAATCACGTGATCGATTTTTGGACAATTTTGACCCCCTCCCCCCCCTTGGTGACCAATGGTGATAAATTCATTACCCGCCCCCCCCCGCGGTCACGTGACAGCATACACATTAAACCTATTTTTCGCCAAGTGTGATTTTTTGTGGCGGATTTTTTTTCGCAAAAAGTTTTTTCGCCAAACTGACCTATTTCCGACAGGAAAACACATGGCACAAATTAACCCAAAAATAATATTCCTGTGCCATTTCAAATCCGCAGTTAAATTAAATTTTAAAATTATTGGAAGAACTATGTAATACTAATCAGTAAGTATATTGAGTAATTTAACATTCATGACATCTTAAGGACAACTGCGTAAACTTATTATCTGAAAGAATAATGAGAGTTCTATGAATGTGCACTGAAATTTGTAAGAAATTTGCAAACCAGACCTACATAAGATTGTCAAGTAAAAATTTAAAAATACGCCGAATTCGAATTTAAGGTAAAAGAGGTTAACGATTAAGTAAATACATATTATCAAATTTACTATTTACATCCGAAGTTAGAAGAAAATTTTTTCGTGGCATGTCACGTGACTGCCGGCCATTACCCCCCCCCCTTGGTGATAATAGGTGACAAATTTCACACCCCTCCCCCCCCCTCTAATCGATCACGTGATTTCTGGACGCTCCCTTACTACGGTTTATTATTAGCTCACCCTGCGTAGCATGAGAGCTATTGAATTCCTCTTGTCCGTCTGTCCGTCTGTCTGTCCGTCTGTCTGTCTGTTCACGATTTTTTTGCATCAATTGATGCTAATTAATAAGTCCCAAAACCATTTTAACCCAAATTAGTAGCACAATTGGTATGCAATAATCTATGTCAAAATTGGCTAACAAATTTTTCCGCTTATTTTCCACCATTGGTGCTATTAAAATTACATATCTAGGTTGTCTATTTTGTATGGCACTGGTACAAAACATGTAGGCCGATCGCTGCAAAAACGACCAAAATATCTGAATAACTGGCGGGCACAAATAAACAAACCTGACACCTTATTCACCGAGAGGGAGCTAAGCTAAGACCCGATATTAGGTTAAAATTGTGTACCTATTTTCATCGCTTATTTTCCATTATTGGTACTAATTTGAGTCACAACTATGTATCTCCTTTGTTCGCTTATTCTGCACCTGTGGTGCAAAGTTACATCCAAATCATTTCAGGGTGAGCTACTTCTAACGTCACTACGGTTTATTTTTTCAGATTTCGTTTTAAAAAATTAGGCTAGCAGTGTTCAAAAGTCATATTTTTCTTTTCGTGTTGTTGCCGTTGAAACTGTTATAATTCTTGTCATAAATGTTACCCGTATGCTCCAAGTAAAATATATACTCCGGTGAGGCGTTTCAAAGTTTGTTAATCAAAAATCTCTAATTGAGAAACATGTGTAAAAAACCTTAAATTTTTGAATTCTTGATTTTTATGCTATCATGGAGGTTGGAAATTATTGCCTTGCTATGTTCGCAATAGAGCCACACTAGTCTCCAGCATTGGTGAAGTTTTTTCAAGAAAATCTGGTTGCATTATAAAATTAGATGATCTACATAAAGTTCTCATGGTAAGTTTGGAGTGATGCAAAATATAATAAAAACATAAATATGGATAATAAGCGTCAAGATGGGCATTTTTAGATAAGATATTTTTATTATTATAAAACCAATTGGAGTAACTCAATTGGTATAAAAATAAAATGACGTTTCTTTTCTAAAAATACTTAACATTAATCTCAGTATTTACATACATTTGTTACTTTTTTATTCGAATAAGTTTATAGTTTCATAAATCCATGAGTCTAAAATATGAAGGGAAAAACGACACGAAGTAACATATTTATCCGCTTAAGTATTGCTGGCTTTGTTTATAGTTAAATAAAAAACTTTAGAACATTAGTCAACTCTTGTATTTAAACTTGAAAATTTAAAATCCCATCAATTTATGTATTTCGTGCTATTGAGATTGATATTCATATGCATAGCTTAAAACAAAATCCGCCGTTAGCATTAATAAGTTGCTAACTGAGGATATCTTGATACACACCAATAAGACTTATTTCGTAAGATTTCATGTTTTAAAAATACATTATGTGTTAGTAACAAGTTCAAGCATTTTCTCCTCGGATCAATGCATTGGTGTCAAGGCTATAATTTCGATAAGATTTTTACTCCTTTGAACATACTTTGGAGAGTCTAGAACACATAAATCGATGCTTTAGAAATTCAACAAAGAGCTCTTATATAAGAACTTTTATATAATTTTGCATTCCATCGATCATGGTGACACGAATATGCAAAATATTTTACCTCCACATTTGGCTAATTAGAACTTTGTTCGATCGGGGATGACTCACTAGTTATGTTTTGTAAGAATGATATATTTAGATACGTTCACCCTACTGGTTCGAACACAATTGTAATTTTAACCTAAAATTTTTATGGCGAGGGCATCCGTCATATGGTTGAGATATGCGGTTTTTACATCTTCATCGACCTGAAAACCAAATCCATTTTCAAACATTGTCTCCGAGTTATGAACATATTCGTTGCGTGCTGAGAAGTGTTTGCTACTTGGCTAAAATTAAAGTTCTGACTCATTAAATATTTAATCCATGGTGTCTATGCAAAATATATTTTAAAGCTAAAACTCGCTGTGCCCGCCTCTGTCTGAGCCATCCCGTCGTTGGCTACGTGTGTATAGAATAACAATGGAATTTTTTTAAGCCACACCAGGATTATTTATATAAAAAAAGGTAAGGTAAAAATCACATTCCATTGAATCCCAGTGGGCAACTCTAGGGCGAATGGCTCATCGAAATCGTAGGGATTTCATAGCGATTGCAGAGCTACTTGACCGCCGATTCCGTAGGACATCGCAGCGATTTCTCAACGAAATCGTAGCGATTTCTCAACGAAATCGTAGCGATTTCTCAACGAAATCGTAGCGATTTCTCAACGAAATCGTAGCGATTTCTCAACGAAATCGTAGCGATTTCTCAACGAAATCGTAGCGATTTCTCAACGAAATCGTAGCGATTTCTCAACGAAATCGTAACGATTTCTCAACGAAATCGTAGCGATTTCTCAACGAAATCGTAACGATTTCTCAACGAAATCGTAGCGATTTCTCAACGAAATCGTAACGATTTCTCAACGAAATCGTAGCGATTTCTCAACGAAATCGTAGCGATTTCTCAACGAAATCGTAACGATTTCTCAACGAAATCGTAGCGATTTCATAGCGATTTTTCGCAATGACTCGAGAAATCGCTGCGATGTCCCAGGGAATCTGCGGTAAAGTAGCTCTATAATCGCTATGAAATCCCTACGATTTCGATGAGCGATTCGCCCCAGATTTGCCCACCAAGATAGCTCCTCTTTGAGGAAAAATATTTGGGGTGAAAGTACGCATGTGAGCCTTTGTTCCAGCCTCGTGAGGGAAAGGGAGAGAAAATTTCCTAAAAAAACTTTCCCGCCAATATTTTTCTTCAAAGGGGCCATGCAACGGATGATGGGCGCCATGTGATTCCTAATTTTTGCCTTAATTCGATAATATAACTCGCTACACTATCCCGGCGTTGCTTGAAAAAGGATTCCATCGTTATTTTCTGAATTTTCGAAGTACACAAATAAACAATCTGACACCGCAGTAATTTCTCTCACGTGATCATTTCTCCAGTTTGAAACCTATGATTGTTGTTAGGCCTGCAAATATTTGTCTTGAACTATGTAAAAATATCAGGCAGCATGTGTGTGTCTATTCTAAAATAATTTTTTCATTCAAAAATCAATCTCTACTGATTTGTAGCTCAAGATTTTCATTCACATTCAGTCATTTTCTTCCAGGTTCGTTTCATTTCGTCTTCATCGGACTTCATTTCTTGTGTAAAGCATAGGCTAAAACGAAAGAAGTGAGAAATCCTTTCATTCACACTCAATCATCCCAACCCAGATAACAGGTCGCTATGAATTCGCTTAGAGAATTCGCAGAGAATATCGCGTAAAAACAGAGAACTCGAATTCCCTCAGATTTCGTTATTATTCTCGTATCGAATTCGCATCGAATTCGGTAATTATTCGTATTTAAATTCGATATTACGCTCATTTCAGAATTCGTAATGAATTAGACTCGAATTCTCAGAGAATTCTTCTATCGAATTCGAAACGACTTCACTATGCATTCCTAAACGAATTCGCTGTTATTGTAGTGAGGAATTCTCCCCGATTTCGATAGGAATTCTTCTTACAGGAATAGGAGACTATAAACTGTTCGCCTTGAATCTCGAATTCGTAAATAATTCTTAGAGAATTCACTGTGATTTCTCTCTTTCACGCTGGTATTGTATTTTAAAGTAATTTTAGCTGCCACATTCAAATCTTTCCTCATGGGAAGGAGACGTCTTTTTCAGTTGAGTGCTCGCCACAAAAGAAGACTTGTAAAAAAACCAAGTGAAATTTTCGAGGAAAATTTAAATAGTGACCTAGTCCAGGCCGAAGGGGAAAACATTTATTCAGAACAAGTGTTCGAGGAAGATCTGGAAGAAATTGAAGTCGGAAGTAACACGAGTGAAGTAAGTTCAGCTGAAACAATTAGCTCAGAGAGTGAAGGTGAAATTGATACTTTTGATATAAGACATAGTATCCAAAATTAGTCCAAGATTGAAAAATTGAAATCTGCTGGTGGATTTGAGGTGGCTACCGTGGTCGAGAGCATTCTCAGGAAGCTGATGACCGATGATTTGCAAGCTAAGTAGAGTCTTTACGGAGAAAAGGGAAAGAACTCTTTAGTGAAAGTTAAGGGGTTAAGACAACTCATTAAAGGTATTTTAGCATCTAATTAAACAACAATCTAAAGCATTAAAAAATATGTTAATCTCAGATGCGGTAGCAGCTCACCCTAGGACTCCAAATTATCCAGACGAGGGCACAGTTGACGAGGAAATTCAAAAATCCCTTAAGAAAGTCGCAGATAGAGTTGGGAAGCGTATGAGGTACTTATACTATCGCTAATAACTGTTGCAAAAGATTTTAAAAATAACATTAGTATATTTTCAATAGGAAGTGACTTGACTTCGCGGCCAATTTCACTACCCGGTTCATCTGATTATTCAACTTATATTTATTTTAATAAAAAGTTATTTATATTGCATAATATTTAGAAGAAGTAAAATAAACTATAAACGGAATTATGTAACTTCGAAATAAACGAGAAATCGTATCGATTTATTACTTAATTCGCAGTGAATTCGCATAGAAGTCGCATAAAATTCGTGGAGCAGTCGCGTCGAATTCGTGGAGCAGTCGCGTCGAATTCGTTTAGAAATCGTTATGAACTCCTACATGCTCATCGAATTCAAGACGAAATCGTGGAGACTTACCGGCGAAATCGATTTACGATTCTCTTTCGCTGTCGAATCGGCGGACATTTCCCTTCGATATCTCCTCGAATTTATCTCGAAAGTTGGAAATTCGAGGCGAATTCGATATCGATATGAAAGCGAATATAATATCGAAACATAAGAGAATTCAGAGCGAATTGTTATCTGGGAAATGACGGACTCTTTCAGTCATTTTTATCCAAATAACTTATTGTAAATTTATTTTCATTCATTATTATAATCCGGCATATGAATGAAAGTGAACAGGTACATATGATGCCTCAAACACGCTTAAAACTGATTGTACTTATATTATCCGTGTGTTTAAAGCTGTTTAAAACTGAACCCACCGAAAATGCCATGTTGGACCGACTCCCAACAGGTTTCGATATGCACATCTCGTACATCACACCGTACGCGTATCTATATCCACTCACGTACGATTTACCAACTAGCATCATATCATTGCCACGTGAACGTATCCCAAGCATGGGTTACCCTACCGAATTTGCATTTCTAAATATAATGCAGGCGCGTAGTGCTGCTCATAGGATATACATTTTACTAGCTCCATTTCAAAATTTGTAAAACTTCAACCCTCGCATTCTGAACTATGTGTTGAAAGACTTCTTTCCACTCACACATCTTTTCTACATCATTAAATAGGACGAAGATTACATAAGGAACGCGGCAGAGAGCACGAAAACCGTGTATAAATTTCTTGTAACGAATGTTTCCAAAATGGATTTAATTCTTAGATTAAGGGTCGGTCTTCCAGCTTAAGCTCTCTGATTTTTGTTGGGTCAAGGTTAATCGACCAAAAGGTAAATTACGAAGGTAACTTATTCAAATTTCTTTGTTATCGTAAGTTACGATAACAAAGAAATTAGAATCCAAGGAGGAGGAAACGCGTTGTAAAGTTGACAAATTGTACACTTAACAAATTTACTGCACTTTCTCCTCTTCGGATGTAAATATATCTGCTAAATGTGCCGAATTGATCGTTTGCAAATTTCATATTAGGGCCTCACAGATACATCCCTCAAATTTAACTTTTTAATTTTTAATTTCCTTTTTCGCTAAAAATTTCGCTGGGTTTGGCGAAGCAAATTTGACTCATTATGCTTATTAATTTATCCTAGAATTTCCCACAGCACTGGGTAAAACGAGTATGTTAGGGGTGTTTAAAATGTATACACTAAATGAATGCCTAAGCGACGTAACCCTTCTCTACCGCCTTGCTTGTCCACATTTTCAGTCGCTTATAATGGCGGGGTCTAATTCGTTTAATTCGAATCAGAGGTCGACACCAACAAATTTTCGGCGGCGGCGGAGCCAGTTTTTGGTGATTTTTCGGCGGCGTCGCAATGTTGAAGGTATATAAAATCAAATTTTTCGGCGGCGGAGCGTAAAATAGTGCCGGCGGCGTAGACAGACTTTGTCGTTAGGACAAAGTAGAAATCTACCCAAGCAAATTCTTTGAGATATATCGGCTCATTAATCAGATTTGTGATCGATTGTCACTTGTTTGCCGAAAATCGGAGAGCATACCCTGGAAGACTTCATGTACATGTGCATATTTTCAAGAAATTACGCGACTTCCCAATGGAACTGGTTGTTCCTATGTATTTCAAAAAACCAGAATTCTTCGCCCTTCTTTTTCTCGCTCAACAGGCCAAGTATGAACTGTGTGCCTTTCTTCCTCAGCGGCGTATAACCTTTCGTAATGCAAAATGTGGAGTATTTCTAATCCAGTCGGGTAACGTTGTACAAAATTACGATGGAGTATTGCACCTTGCCCCATGCGAGTGGAGGTATGCCGCATCTAACAACAGACAATATGTTAGAGAAGAATGGGAGCGGTTTGTGCGGCAAGGTGCCGTACTCCGAAATTTGAATCCGTTCAATAGAAAGCAGGATTTTTTCATGTGTGTCTACATTGCACATGAAATTATAAGCAAGTCCAATTGTAGCTTTTTCGTAGATGGAAGAAATTATGCCTCAATTTGGCCAGAATTACGGGTACGTATGTTTCTCTCGGCTTTCCCCGAAACGGTGGTTGTGACGAAGAAGATTGGCATCCAATTTTTGACTTGTTATACCGACAAATTTCTATCCTTTGAATTCTATTTGGCCCCATTTGATGGCGCAATTTGGATCAATCTGATTCTCTTTCTGATAGTAATTATTGCTCTGTTTTCCACTTATCGGAAATATGACGGATCCCAATTTAACCACGTGGCCGGATGGCTACCGCTTTTCGCAATATTGTTTGACGACTCGTCGTCCGTTCCAGGACAGTTGGAAAAATCGCAATTTTATCGAATAATCTTCGGCTTTTGGGGCCTGGTTGCCGTCCTACTGACGAACTGTTATAGCAGCTCGATCGTTACCGAGCTGAATGCACCTCTACCAGGGGAGAGGATTACGTTATGGGAAAATTTGCTGTGTGATGAAGATATCGTCAACTTTCGAAACTATAGCGGGATTCGTGGCTTAGAGCATGCGGAATGGGTTAATCTGCTGAAAAAATCCAAAGAAAATTGACGAGGATCGAGTGGATGATAAATTTGTGACGCCTAACTGTTTTCAAATTATTCCCATTCCCGGCAGGGGCGAATTGAGATACCCAACCGACTTTCCATTCCTGGACTATTTTAACGAAATCGGTTTCGAGAACTTCATTTTCATTCTGGACGACCAAAATCCCTGGAAAGATAAGCTTGTTCATCTATTCCTTAGAGATGTTAAATACGAATTGAACGCTCTCCGGGTAATGAAAGCTTTTAAGAATAGTACACACCCAGGGTTACAATATTTTTCAGAAGTTTCCGAAAAAGAAATTGCAGCTTGTGGGAAAACCATTTTTGCCGGGGAAGTGGAAAGCATTCCGCAGGAAATAAGCTATCTGGCGAGGCAGTATCCTTTAAAGAAGTTTTATACGAGTTTAGATTTTCTAGAATCCAGTACAATAGGTTGGGTGTTTGAGGGCGGTGGAAAATCGGGTGTTCCCAGAAATTTGGAAGCCATTTTGGAGTCAGGAATATATGCGAGACTGGAAGCCGAAGATTTCTCAAAAGTTTCGCGTCACTCAAAAACGAGGAGGGTTGAGTTTGCTAGTGTTACGAGCGATGGGGCAATATTGACAGTGTTTATTTTGCTTGGATCACTTATTAGTTTGGGGGTAACCATATTTCTGTTTGAGAATTATTATACGATTTGGAAGTTTTGTTTAAGTGTGAAACGCCTGGTACATTTTTGGTGTTGGCGAGTTTACTGCTTAGCGGCCGTAGCGATATTACAGTGGATGTCAAGACGATAAGGCAACTAGATATTTTATAGTACCTTAAAAAATAAAAACAAATTATAAAAATTTCAAACAAATAGCTCTAATACTTTGGGACTTACGAATCGACTGTACACAAAACTGATAAATAGATATATACATATTTATAAAATGCCTTGATGGAATTCTTTAGATATGATAATTGTATTGTATGTATTTTGATGAACAAATGATGAATTTCAGGGAAAATTATCAATCCTAAATTTGAAGGCTGAATGTTTCCCTTGATAAGAACAGGTGAAAAGGAGTAATTGTCTTACTATTAGTTTTACCGATTACGAATACTAAACGTTAAACTGTCCTCGTAACTAGATATATTCACTTGGTCGATGTACGCATAACTTTTAGATCGATGGACATATGTATTGGTCAATAAAGAAGTAGTATACCAGTAGGATTTATTTCGTAAGATTTCATGTCTTAAAAATACAAAGTAGAGCCTTTTAGCAGTACCAAGTTTGAAGTTATTTGATGAATCAATTTTCTGTTATAATGCTTCGACCTTTACATGAGTGGTTGGAAATTTGCAATTAATTAAATGCAACTCGTTATACTGCTGTTATGTTATGCGCAAATTGTTCGTTTTGAATTGTAACAATGTAACCTGTTATAATGTTAAATCATGCCGAGAATTGAGTTGTAATTCTATGGGCCATGAGCCTTGTAAGAATTATTCATTGAATACATTGAGGGTATTCATTATTTCTTGTCGGATAGAATTTATTTGTCCAACCATTTATTACATGGTCGGATCGGTTATTATCCGATTCGATTTCAGCATAGAATGGGATCCATGTTATTGCAAATACTTGGATCGGATTGGATGACCAACCTTAATAAGATTATCTGCATTTTGATTAGATCGTGTACGTATGCCCATTTGTATGTACATCGTGGCCAACAGATTTCACAAATTTGTGGATCAGCGAGTTACAAAAAATATACATTCCAGATTTTGACGTTTCTTAAAGAAGGAGGTCTCAAATTTATGATGCCTTCGAAAAAATTGCTAAAAACTCGCCATCATTTACTTTTCAACTTACAGACCACAAATACATATGTCGGGTAGAATTTCATAATAAATACCCAGAGCGGAGAAGTGATAAAAAATATAGTGATTTTGTCGATTTTGATGACTCCTATACACATGTAGCTTTTCAATTAGTGTATTTATTCACGTCAACTTCGTAAACGTCGTTTCGGGTCATATCTTCGCAACTTTTCGATGTTGTAATGCAAGAAACAATAAGAATCCAATTTTTTTACGAAATGTTTGAAACGAAGAGGCATCTAATACGTCTACATATTTTTCTCAAAATCGTCTCCAAGTGGTTTTTAGGTAATTCTGCAACAGTGATGCAAACTATTTTGGACCTTACTCGTTGCATGATAATTATTGATCTGTTTTGTTTTTGCACCTATTGTCAACTATTGTGCACCATTGGTGCAATATTGCATAAACATTATTGA